GAGTTTGAAGTCGAGGTTAAAGTTGCGGGATTGGAGGGTGTTGAAGAAGAGAGAGTGTGAGTATTTGAATGCGAAGTTGTCGAGTAAAATGAGGATGCAGCAGTTGGCTGGAAAGTCGGGGAGGAGGAGGTGGAGAGGAAGGGGATGATGGGTAGGAGGAGGAGAAGGTTTTTGGCCGTCTTAGAGGTGAAGGGGTTCAGAGTGGAAAAGCAAGAGGTCGGGGGTTTGTTAAATCTTTCGAGTTTCGAGCGGCGTTTTTCTTTTTCCGCTGGATGTGTTTGTTGGTGGAAAGGTAACGATTTGGCCTTGGGGGAAAAATTTAGGTAAAGTAAGTGTTAGTCCTCTAAAGGAGAAAGATTTAAGAATAAATTTTTATTTGCCCCTCGAAGTTTGAGAGAGTTTTCAATTTCTCTCATGAAATTTCGTTTCTATCGACCACCTCTTTAACTTTCATCAGAATTTCAATTCTTTCCTTCGTTTATTAAACTATCATAACTAACGATGTAATAATTTTATATTTCAATTGACTTCTTAAAGTTTCAACAAAAATCTTAATTAAGCATGCATTCCTCAATCAGATTAATTATTTTGTTTTTTCAATTAGGATTGTATTTTATTTTTTTATCTTGTATTTTTCAAATTGATAAAAATCTTGCACATTTTAATAAAATCATAATAATCTAATACCAAGTTAACTTAACTTCTTGATAAAAAGAAAAAAATAAAATAAAATAAACATAACTTGGTATCATCTTTTCATATTCCTATTTTCAAAAAAAAAGAAAAAAAACATGTTAATTGTGTAAAACTTAAATTTAATATAATAAAATTAATAATATTAATACACTATATATTTATTTTTTCAAATCCTAATTGAAATTTACATATTAATCCTTCAAATCATATTAAAATTATTGAACTCAAACTTACACCTAATAATGTGGCTTTTCATAATTGAAATAATACCATTCTTCTATTTAAAAAAAAAAATCGATAAGACATATTTTATGAATTTTAATGTGATTGAAAGATAAATATTTGTTTGAGATTTTTTTAATATTTTAAAAAGTTAATTGAAATATAAAAATATCATATCACTAATTATGCTAGTTTAATAGATAAACATGAATTATTTAAACTTTGATAAAATTTCAGAAGGATAATTGACATAAACAAAATCTTAAGAGAAAAATTGAGAAACCTCTCAAAATTCAGGAGAACAAATTAAAAGTTAAAGAGCTAATCATCCCACCATCCTCTATTTTCGATATCATCACATTTTGTACTGTGTGTTTTAAAATTTGTACACTTTGCAGCCTCTATTTTTCTCGTGATTGCACTTTTCGCTTTTCATTAAAAAATTATTAGTTAACTCTTAAAAATCGAGCTGACTTTTTATCAAAAGGCCAGAAAATAACCAAATAACCTTTATAAAATTATAAGACAATGAATTATGAAATATAAAAATAAAATGTCAATTTAATAATAAAAAAAACCAATTTGAAAATCATTCATTTCACTCAATTTCATTTTATTTCGGTATTAGTGGAAAAACTCAAGCAAAATGTGTTGCTTTCATTCCTAAATTAGCATGTCCTTTTTTGTGTGGTTTATTACAAAATCATATTGATGCATAAATGACATGAATTTAACAAAAAAAAAACATGTATATTTTTTTCCAAATGGGGGTGTGTAATTGATAAAGCGAGAGGGTATCTTCTTTTAAAGCAGAGACACTTTTGAATTTTTTTTTTAAAAAAAATCAGAATGAAAGGTTAGCTTTGTTAATCTTAGGATGGAAAGCATAATTTTTCAAAATACAAGATGCAGATTGTAAGAGGGTGTTAGAGATAATTAATTCAATGAAAAATGGTAAATACACGTAGATAATTGGAGTGGATTTTTTATTTTGTTTAAACTTTCATGTTAATTTTTAAGTCACCTTTGGAGTAGAGTTACTCTTTGATCATGTTTTATACGCATTATTTACATTCCAAATATTGTATTTATGAATTTTTTTATATATATAATTCCACTTAAATTTAAAGAAAAATGGTTTTATGTATCTTTGTATCTTTATATGATTGGGTAAGTATTTAATTTTTTTCTATATTCTAAAATAAATCAATTATTTTCATGTATTTTAAATAAGTTTCTAATTTATTATTCTAATGATGTTTTTTGATAAAACTATAAGAAAATATCATGTAATTTGCAAACAAGAAATTTTATCTCGAAAATATCTCTTAGACCAACGGACATCTAAAAGATACCAACCAATTACCATCCTTGCCAAACCTATTTTTTTCTTCTTTTCTATTCTCATTCTTCTTCACCTTCATCCATTCTTTTTATTCCCTTTCTCTTTTAAAAATTTGGCCAAAATCACCCTAAAAAAACCAATCCAATCATTTTTTCAGTCACTCCTAAAACTTTCATTTTTTACATCTAAAACCTCCATGTTTCACCTAAAACCAAGCTCTAAATCTCCAATTTACATCCTAAACCTTGAAACCATCTTTTTCTCACTTTTTTAGACTAATATCAAGTCCAAACTCGTCAATTGCCATTAAACTTGTCACTTTCATCTACTTTTCTTTTATTTTATGATCATTTATTATCTCAGACACCTTTTAATCATCTGAACCTATGGATTTGGTATTTGGGAGAGACGGAGGTGATGGATGGTGACTTGCGCATGCTCATTCAACCGAGGAGCATTTTTAGTATAAATTGATAATGTGTAAATCTGTAAAATTTTGGATGGTTTTGTTAGAAAATACTATTAGAATAATAGATTAAAAAGTCACTTAATGTGTATAAACATATTAGCTCATTTATGATATAAGGACATGCTGAGCACTTAATCCAATTATATAAGGACACACATGGGCATTTCCTTTTAAATTTAAATAGAACTATAGAAAAAGAAAGTTTTCACAGATATAATTTTTGGAATATAAATAATGTGTATAAAACAATATAGAAGAGTAACCGTACATGAAAGCTGACTTAAAAATTAACATGAAAATTTAAACAAAATAAAATATAGATATATTTTTTAATTTGACGTCTGGTGATGAATATTAATGATTTAATACCACTTGGCCATAGCACAGTGGCAATGAATTTCTTGCAAGTACAATGAGATTTTGGATTCCAATTCTGTATTTGGAGTATTCAAATTTTAAAAGTAATTTATTACAAAAGAAGATAAAAATAATTTTTTATCTTTACATTGATGGTCAATTGAGTTTATGTTGTGGTAATATGACATTTTTATTACTATTTATTGAGTGATGCTAGATAATTAAGAATAATGATACTTAATTTCTTACAAAAACTTTTTGACCAAATAACATGACAAATTTTGATTGATGATATATTATAAATACATTATATGTTATCACTGTATAACTAAACATGATAAATTTACTTTCTATAATTTTAAAAACTTTTCATACAATAAATTACCACATTACCTAACAAGATATATTTTGTAAAATATTTAAGTATATCTTAATTACTCTTTTTTTTTTCGTTTTAAAAAAGTTAACAATATGTCTTTTTTATAAATGTCATCGATCAAAAGCAAAACTCAAAGAGAAGTCAATAAAGCCTGCAAAAACATATTTTCAATAATTAGAGTAAATCATAAATTAGTTTTTTTTTAGTTTTGCAAAATGAATTAAATAGTGTATTTAGTTTTAAAAATTAATTAATTAATTTTTAATCAATATTTATCATGTTTAATTTAATATTGCATAATTAAAAAAAAAATTTCTCTTCAAATTTTCCATATTATTTATTTATTTTTTCTATTTCTTAAAAGAATAAATTGAAATAGACAAAAGTGATTAATTAATTAGTTTTTAAATTTAAAGGGACTATTTAATTTATTTTGTAAAGCTACATAGATTAATTTATAATTTACTCCAATAATCGAGAGAGAGAAGAAAAAAAAAACGAGAGAGGGAGAGGGAGGGAGAGAGCATAGAAAACAAAAGGCTTGTTTAACCGTATGGGGAAAGCGACAAAAACGAAAGGTGAAAAACAGTAGTTACAACTTACAAACCTGCATTTGGGTGACGATAATTGAAGCCGACACGAAGGACCAATAGACGTAGACGGGGAGAGAGAGAGAAAACAAAGAAAGAAAAGTTCCTCCTCTTCCTTTATAAGCCACAACCTCCCCGGACACGCTTTCAGATTCCTTCTTCTTCCTAGCTCTCTCGCTCTCCCGCTTGTTTCAAGCAAAGCAGATACGTTCTTTTTGTTTCTTTCTTCTAACCCATCATCCTAAACTTCGCGTATTTTTCAAATCATTTTGATTTGGTTAATTTCTTGATTGGAGCTTTATAGAACTCTTTGGGATACACAGGTGGGTTTGTCTTTGCTTACGGTTTTACTGAATCGCTATTGTTTATGGAGACGTTGATCACTGCTTTTCCTTCTTTTGTGCAGGAGAAATGATCAAGTTGTTTAAATTGAAGGAGAAACAAAGGGAACTTGCTGAAAACGCCAATGGAAAGACACCTATCAAGAAACAAAGTGCAGGAGAATTACGTCTTCATAAAGGTTGTACGACCTGTGCATCTTCATCACTATCTTTTAATGATTAATTATGCTTACATTTATTTATTCCTGCTCAAAAGCATTAGTTTTTGTTATCTGGGTTTTGCTTGCTCTGTTGGGAGGACCACCGATTATTCTAAGTGACAAACTTTCAGATGCTTTCAAATGTTTTTCATTTGGTAGAAGAAAAAGTTTTGATTTTAATCTTTTATGGTTGGATAATTAACCTATTAATTAACCTTTATGAATTCCACTACTAAAACTAGGATCAGCAACCTGGTTGTTATTTTCATTGAGAACTTAATTACTATTGAAGTTTCTTGGTTGTGACTTGTGATGCGCTGATTTTCGAGTTTTTATTAATCCAACGTTATGGTGCTACTCTTTTAGATATCAGTGAACTGAACTTACCTAAAACTTGCACAATGGCTTTCCCAAATGGCAAGGATGACTTGATGAATTTTGAGGTTACCATTCGTCCTGATGAAGGATATTATCTGTAAGTAAATTCCTTAGGCAACAAGTTGAGTGCGAGGAATTCCTGATCCAAATACTGACATTTCCCTCTCAATTTTCCCTCAAGACAAATCATCTTTTTTTTTTTTTCTTGAAAGAATTTTATGCCATATTTTCTGGGCTGTATGTTTCAAGTACTTAACGAGTTGCATTTCTTTTTCTGTCACAGAGGTGGCACATTTGTGTTCTCAGTCCAAATTTCTCCCATTTACCCTCACGAAGCACCAAAAGTCAAGTGCAAGACAAAGGTAGATAAGCATGTTCTGTTTTGCCAAGCTTGGTTACTCAACATAAACCTTTTTGCTATTAAGGCAGCGTTGATTGGGATACAATATTGCAGGTTTATCATCCTAATATAGACCTGGAAGGAAATGTCTGCCTCAATATTTTACGAGAAGACTGGAAACCTGTCCTGAATGTTAACACAGTAATTTATGGACTCTTCCATCTTTTCACGGTATTGATTCTTCATTCATGATTAGGTTCTTTCTATGTTGTATTTCCAATTTAGTTGAAGTCAGTACTTGTGCGTGCAGGAACCCAACCACGAGGATCCCCTCAATCAAGATGCTGCGGCTGTCTTAAGAGATAACCCGAAATTGTTTGAATCCTATGTGAGAAGGGCAATGGCTGGTGGATATGTGGGACAAACCTTCTTCCCTCGCTGTATCTAGTTGCTGCCTGCGTCAATGGGATGCATCAAGTTCAGTGCATGAAGGTTCAGGAGATTGCAACTTGGGTCATATCTCTCTCCTCGTGTGCGTTGATGCTAATTCTTCGAAATACTGCAAAGCCAACTTCAAGGTGTGAAGGTGTGTGGATGACGATGTATTGTTGTGATATGTCTGTGATACTGCCTGGGGTTTGACTACCCTGTTTATTGATGTGAATCAATCCTGCGGCATTTATCTTGAGAGTCTAGTCATGTATGTATTTCTTTGATGTTGGCAAGGAATAATACTTCCTTTATAATTCGTTCTTGAGAAACAAGTGATGTATTCATATCTACTAAGTACTGCTACTCATATCTTATGTTTACAATATCTGAAATACCAGAGCTGCAAAAATTTGAGTTCTTGCTTTGAATGCACGATGGTAGTGTCAATAAAAGTAGTGCTGCTGATCTCACCACAAGGCATTCTTTAGACTTTTGCATTTTGAATTACGACACAAGGGACCCTTTGTAGATTTTGGTTTGTTTTCATAAAAAACAGAGCTGAATTTTGATTAGGGCATAAAGCTGTTTAAGAATTCTACTGTTTTATTCGAACACAGCCAGTTATGGTAACTCATTTCAAATCACTCTTTTTTATCTGCTCATGGTGGCTCATGCTTTAGAGGATCAAACACGATCAAGGCATCATATATAAGGTAAACAGCAAGTCTTTTGCAGTGCAAATCTCCAGCAAACTGCTTATGATAGAAAACAGAGACAAGTCATAAGTAAAAAATATGTCAAATAAAACAACCTTGCAATTTTTATCGATCACCGATCAATTTGGTAGAACAGTCAGATGGACATCTAAAGAAAAACCCATACAATCCAATGAACATTTCAAACCATATACAAGCACGTAACACTCCAAAGAAATAGGGAGCCAGAAGCTGGGAACCAGTGAAAAATGGGCATGGAGTAATGTTAAAGCTACTAACGAATAAGTTCCTAAGCTATCTTAATACCTATAACACGTGTAATCTATTGACACAAGAGAGAAAAACACATAAGATCAGCATATATAAACAACGTGGACAACGGAGATGCAAATGAATGTTGAATGTTGATTTTAGCAGCACTAGTTGTGGTTTTCACCAGGCGCTAGTGAAAAGGGCCTGGCAAATCTTTTAACTAGCGTAGCCATGTATTTTCCCTGGTGCTCCGCAAGAGCTAGCTCTGTTGCACTTGGCTCTCTTGTGCCATCACCAGAAAGGACACCTGCACCATATGGAGATCCTCCTCTAATGGAATCCATTCGGAACATTCCAGCACCGAAGGTGTAACCAATAGGGACAAAGAGCATCCCATGATGGGCCAACTGAGTGATTGCTGTCAAGCTGCAAAACGAACAAAACAAATCAATTTGGTGATAACCATAAGTTTCACACAGCAAAAAGAAGTAAGTTTCCCTAAAATAAGTGCACATCATTTATTCTGACTCCATGTCCTTTTTCAATGTCATTAAAACTGAAGCAGGAAACTGGGAAGTGCAAAATCCCAATTAGGGACCTGACATTAAGTTGTCAGGAAGATATTGGCATCTGATCTGTAGGGTACTTCCAAAGCACTAGTCGATGCAAAAACAGTTCCTTAGCAAGACATTCTTGTGGCATCTGTTCACTGCTATACTTGTCAAGCTAACAATCTAAGACTTGTGAGAAATCCGTTCATTGTTAAAGAAAAATATTGACAGTGATGTTTGGGAAAGCTAATCAAACTTTAACTATCCATCTCACCACCAAACATGCTATAAGTCAATTTTATTGGCAATCACTAGTCAATTAGGGAATAAAAACCAAATGTAAATTGCATCAACGAATCTTATCAGAAAATCACCCCTGAACCATCCTAAATATTACAGGATGGAAACAGTGAATATTTCCTTTTCAACACCCTTCTTCTCAATATCAATTCACCATACAACTTCCTTTGAGCTATTAGCAATACTTTCCCAATCCGTTCCTGGAATTGAAAGTACCCTGATTCATATAACCCCTTTCTGATCATTTGCAGATAAAAACTTCAAAATCAGTTCACTCACTCGTGCATATGTTCATGACCCCATCCCCTTATAATATAGGTCATGCAGAATCAAGTTAATTATAGATTATCTGCACTTTTAATACATTCGATAATTTCTTGTTATAATATAGCAGATTCATGTCTGATGTGCTATCCTTAAAAACCTTTTCCACATTCCTAAATATATCCCATTTTTCTACACCATAATGAACGTTACTAAAAGCATATTGATTGTAACCTTTCCAAATCAATACACCAACTTGGAATTCCAGCAAAACCAAAGTCATCATCTCTTATTAAAAAAAAAAAAAAAAATCAAACATTAGCCAAGATAACACAAATAATTACTATATACTTACGCAGTGGTCTCCTGCCCACCCCCTTGTGTGCCAGTACTCACAAAGAACCCGGCAGGCACACCTGCAAGCTTCTGCTCCATCCACAACTCATGAGTAGAGTCAAAAAAAGCTTTCATTTGAGCTGCCATGGAACCAAACCTTGTAGGAAATCCAAACAAGAACCCATCAGCATTAACCAACTCATCAACTTTTATCAAAGGCACCTCATTTCCTTTCTGCAGCACCTTCATTTGCTCCAAAGTCCTCTGTGGCAATGTCTCTGGGACCCTATACAAAACCCCTTCAACCCCATCAACGGAATCCACCCCTTTCTTTATTCTTCTTGCCATTAACTCCACATGACCATACATTGAATAAAAAATAATATAAATCTTGCACTTTTTAACTACTCGTGTGGTGTTATATTGAGCTGGGATTCTTGGGCCTATGGATGTGGTTTGGTTTTGTGTGGAAATAGCAGAGATTGTTTCATGAGGTTCTTGATCATGTATCTCAACACCTAATCTTCTCTTGCTTGGTACACACCCACCACCTTTACCCATGTCAAAAAATTCGATATACTCTTCAAGCCTGAATTTGTGATCAAGAATTTAGAATTCTTGATTTCTTTGTGTGTGATCAAAAGAGTGGATGGTTGCTATAGTTAAAAGAAAGGTTGTAAATCTATGCATCACCTGATTATGCTATAGCATAAACAGGAATTGCAACAACGAAGACGAAGGATTTGTTTGTCTGAGTCTTGGTTCTGTTGACTTACTCTTTCCTTAGCTGTTTCTGCTGGCATTTTGATTTCTATCTGTAAAATAGTGCAGCATGAAACGCTGTCGTGGGATTTTCGTTCTCCTCGTTCCTCTCTTGTCCTTATCCATGGTTTATTTTTGGATGTCTTAAAATAATCCTTCACCTAACTTAGAAATAGGTTAGATTAGTTATCGTTTTTTTCCCCCTCTTTGAGATTAGTTCCCTTTGGTCTCTACTTAAAATTAGTTGTTTTTTTCTTTTTTCTTTTTTGACAATTTTAGCTTTAGAAACGGAGAGGAAGGGAAACATTTTTATCTTTCCTTGTTTGGATAACTAAAGAGGAGAACGAAAGGACAAAAAGTTATATTTGTTTGGATAGGATAAGAGAAGAGAAAGTAATTGACACACACACACACATGTGTGTGTGTGTGTGTGTGTGTGTGAAACATCTTATTAATATGCTTTGGTCTCATGGTATTATAATTTTGTTGAGTAAAAACTTGGTAAAATACATTCATAACATATTGTAGACGTATAGGGACCCAATTAAATAAGTTGTTTGAAACATCAAGGATGAAATTGTAATTAAATAGAATTTATGAGCCAAACTGTACAGTGATCCTAGCTAAGTGCCCCCCGGCAATCTACGAGAATCCAGGTACGTCAGGAGACCTTTTTCGAGCTACGGGGGAGATATAGTGGACAGCGGAGGAGAGAGGACTAAACTGTGCGTTTTGGAGAATAAAAAATATATAAACGCTGGGATTTTGTTTTAAGGGTATATGTGGGTTTCTAATAAGAAAAGTAAGGTCAAATGAGGAAGTTCGTGTCCAAAGATTATAAACTGTTTTCCTTCCCCTCCATTAACTTCCATTCGTTACTATTCCCAGACAAGATTATAAACTTATTCCCCTCCCCTCGCCTCTATTAATCTTTTTCCCAAACAGACGGTTATAATCACTGTCATGTAGTGGAATCTATGCGCCTATCAAAAAAAACCTAGCCATTTCCTTTCTTTCGATCCTCTCTTAAAAGAAAAATCTCTAACCGCTGCGGTTATAAAACCCCTTATCTCTCTGGTTTTCCTTTTTATCTTTCTTTCTTTTCTTTTTTATGTTTTGTGCATAAAATTCCTACTTTGTTAACATGTTTTGTCATCGAAATAAGGTTTTGAAGTCTTTTACTAGTTTGCAGTGGGTGTTTTATTTTTATTGAAAAAATTGATGCTTTTTAGTAATTTTAGATGGTTGATATTTTTGTTAATTGGATCCGGTAGTGCAGCAAATTTCCTGTTGATTTATGATGTGTAAAAAAAGTTTTACCTTGAATAGTTTTCATCGAAAAGTTTTAATAAATTTTTGTTAACGTTTATGAAAATAATATTTGCTAACCAAAACATCATCCCTTATAATTATTGTAAAATAATTTTATCTATTTTTTTAAATTTAACAAATTGCAGTTCGCTTCTTAATTTTTAATATCATTATACAACCAAGATAGTAATATCTTTATTTTATTTATATCAATAACAAAATTGCTATTTTTTATCCAAAAAAAAAAGGGCCAGTTTTTCAGTCGAATGTCCCATTTTAATGGTTTTGGTATACATGTGCCATATACCTGTAGGCTGTGGAGTAATTAGTTTGGTTCACCTTTGCTTATTTTATTAATTTCTCATCTTTTTATTTTTCCTCAGAAATCTTGACCATTTTGGAGCATGAAAAATTAGAACTCTTTCAGATTTTTTTAATTGAGCTTTCTCAATAAACTGCTGAACAGAATGTAGCTTACACTACTGTTCTCCTGTGTGATGCAATGGGAGTAGAGTTCAAAGAATGATCAAATATCAAATGAGAATAAAGGCAGTATTAAAGAGGATCTTTTAGCCAGAGAAATAGCATATGTAACTAAATTCAACAAGAGCACCTGAAAATTAATAGCTCAACGTACTCCGTGGACAACTGAAAAATCTACATCAGTTCTCCAGCAATGCAAATAGGCTTTGCATAATATCAGAATACAATCTTAGAAGACAAGCAGCAAATTCCTTCGAGGCAGCCCGGCAGAAACAGGACAAGAAGGGTAAAGCCATCTCTTATAGCACTCAAAACAACAAACTTGCACAATATTTACTTTCCAAGAAAATTGTGGATAGTGGAAAGATGTAAATATCCCCCAAATGCTCAAAATTGCAAAGCCACAACTGGTATTCTTTTTAATCGAATAGACATTTTTTTATCCTTCCTTAATTGAGCCCTTTCTGGACCTCTTCAGCTCCCATGGTGGTAGGCAGCCTTTGTAGTGAGAGTGTAGAAACAACGAAGACATGGAGACTTCCTTTTGAGGCATTGAAATTGATGAAAAGCAACTGAAGGAACTTCTTAGTCTCTTCTTTTCGCTTTGGCGTTCTTGATAATTGGGGTCATGTTGTACTTTAGTAGCCTTAAGGGCCTCTGGAAGTATACAGTTGCATAGGGAACCTAAAAAAAGAAGTCAATAGGGGAAAATGAGTTTTGTAGCAATACAAGGACTTTTAAGGTAAGCAATAACAAGGGAAGAAGCATGGTAAGTGAGCATGCAGCTGGCATAAATAGTCTCATAAATATGACAAAATTCTTGTTTGTTGGTGTTTGAAGCTACAAGGAGATGAGAAGAGAACATACAAAAAAAATGCAGCATGAACGTTTGGGTGGGTTCAATTATCCACAAGAGTTCACTGATATGCAGTATTTGAACCTCATTCAAAAGATGGCACGAGGAGTATTATGAAAGAAAGATATTTATCCAATACCTATTCTCGCAAGACGATTCACCCATTTCGGTATTCGGTTCCCAGTCAGTTTGTAACATGTATCCTCACAGAAATGGTTGCAGTTTTTAACAATCAAATGATATGTATCACCATTGTAATTTGCAGATAGGTGCTCCATGAACTCTCTAACTTCTTTCGGATCTAAGCATGTTGTTCCCATGAATATTGATTTCCTAAACTTGAAACCAGGGCACTGTCGGGGTTCAACCTCAAAAACACCGCTTGATGGGTAATCATGGGCTCCAAATGCATATTCCACACCGTGGACTGTAAGTATGCATAAGGACAATTTATTATAAGATTTAAGGAAGAAAACCAATGGGAACATGAAGCATCAAACGATTCATAGCGTTCTATTAATATATATTATCTAATAGAAGAGAAGGCAAACAACAGCAATGTGTTAGCTGCTAACCTTCCACCCCAGAGTGAAAGATACCAAAACCTGCCCAATAGACATAGCCATTAGCGTTTGTCAAGTCATACACATTCAGGTAGACAGGTGTGTTTCCCGGGCTGTAACCTGCTGATTTAACTTTTGGGAAAATGCAAAAGCCCGTGACTGCTTTGCCCCCGAAACTAAGGGGTATAATAGAGTGCCAACCATTCTTTGGTCGTGAAATCATGCTTAAGGTGAAACCAGGAACAAGTCAACCGATTTCTGATCTGCAATTCTGCAAATATGCACACGCGGACATTAACTATTCCACACATGATGAAACCTCATAAATAAATAACAAATCGGCTATGTCCTCTCTCACGAAAAAATTAGGGTCGGAAATGAATATCTATTATCTATTTAGAAAAAACAGCAGTTAACTAACTGGGATATAGAGTTATAGACCATTTGGATGACTTCATTGATCAATACAAGTTTATTTGGTTTCTCAATCCTAAGTTATGGCATTAACCTGTGAGTCAGATACAAACAGATTGTCCCTAGCTCCACCAGAGCACCCCCAGATCCTTCCGGAAACCCTCCAGTGCTGCAATTCATTAGAAACGACAAAAGTAAAAAATACTCATAGATTAGTAGACATTTACCATTCCCGAATTATAACAAAAAGAAAGAACAAATGGCCAACAGTAAATTGTCCGACGAGACGATGGCAGAACTGAAAATCTACTAACTGGATCGGCAACAAATAATTCCCACGGAAAATGGCTCTTTCAAAGACACAGATCAGGTCAACAAAACGCTCAAAATGGAAAAACCAAGTAAACAAACACCATTTTTAACAAAATAACAAAAGCAAAAAGCATTGACCATGAATAATACAAAAGAAATCAAGAGATTCAGAACTGGAAAGAACACACCAAACTCATTGAAGAACTAAAATGTGAATCAAAGAAAGCAAAATCAAGAATCAAAAGTCCACGAAAATAATGCAAACTCATCAAAGAAAAAGGTGGAAATCAAGGCACATTGCAAAAACAAAGGGAACCCATAACAGAAAACTGAAAAACAAAGAGACCCACTTTACCTTATTTTAGAGGGAATTCATTCAAGAACCATATCATCATCTGTGTAGAAGGGAGTGCCAGAACAAAAATGCAATTTTTTTTCAGGGGTCAAAAAGAGAAGAAAAACTCCTGAGAATGTAGTAGTATGGTAGAAGTGTGTGTCTGAAACCCACACATTTGTACCCTTTTTGCTCTTGTCTTTCAACTGACAAAAACGAAAGATGGAGCAAGCACGGAAACTGCTGTCGAAAGTCCAATGAAGAAAGAGAGAAGAATCAATAAAGAAAAGGAGAAAAATAAAAATAATTTATTATTAAATTTACTGATAAAGATAAAGGTGAAAGCAGATGGGACATGAGTATTGACTGGATTACTTTTGTAAATCGGACTACACTTCTCTATTTTCTCCAATATTTATTTATTTATTGTCCTCCATTTAGTAATTTTATAGATTCCTACAAACTTCTAATCAATCACAATATTTTTCTATATTAAATTTTATTATAATTATTTAAAAATATTTTAATATCAAATAACACTTATTCAATATCTTTAATAAATATAATTTTATTTATTTATTTTTCAAAATAAATAAAATTTAATGAATACATCAAATAATATTTAATGGTTGTTCTAGTCACACTCGTTATCTTTTTCTTAATTTTATTACATAAAAGTGCTCTCTATTTTATTAATATGATACAATTGCATTATTTTCTAATTGCAATAAATAAGTAATTGATTACTGAAAAATAAGCATTATGATGGTAATTTTATGCAGTTAGTACCTAAATTTTCAATATTACTTACACAAAGTTTTTTTTATTATTTTATTTCTTATATTTTCTTTAATAACGTAACCTCCTGTTAAATTTCCATTAGTTTTAAAAAAATCGTAACGTTTATTTACTGTTTTGGAACAATCACTATGATAGATATAGGATACTATGAGTTTAAATATTGTTATTTTTTCATTTCCAAAAAAAAAAAAAATTACTACGGATTGCTCAAAAAAAGTGAAGAATTTTAAATTAGTAGGAGAATAAAATAGAAGGATTTAAAAATAGCAGGATAATGATATTGATATTGATATTGAGATTATTACAATTAACTTGTGGAAGTGGAAGAGTTTATGTAATCGTATAGTAAGATAATTAAAGAAATACAGTAGAACAAGTAATGCAAAATGCTTAATTTTTTTTTCTTAAGTGATTGAATATTTCTTTGATCGAATATTTGTCTTCATTATTTGAATCTTTGATTTTTATTTTTATTTTTTCCTTTTATTGATTAGGTAGCAATCAAGTATATTTTTCTTGATTATTTCATTAACATTACCCTTTAAACCCCATGCTAATTTTATCTTCATCATTTTAACATCTCTTGACACCTTTATTGCTACTATAGTCTCATAATATACATCAGTCAAAGTGATCACTATAAAACCCAATCAAAAGGGAAGAAAAGAAGAAGCAAAATAATTACGATGATAATGATAATAATTGAGTTTACGGTGTTTCTTGTAATGATTAAAAAACCAATAGACATTCAATGCATTGTAATTCAAACTCCATCTAAAACTTTATGGTTTGCAACTTGGATTAATAGAAAACGCAACTATGGTTCTCAAAGCAAGGACAATAATAGTAAATAAATGGATACGTTCAGTGGATCGAATTATGAGTTAATACCATCAAAAAGAGGGGGAAAAAAGTTGTAGGAAACTGAACTCTAAGAAGAAATGATTGAAAAAAACAAGACAATATATGACGCTCGGACGGGGTACAAGGTAAAAAGTATAATTACATTATTATGTATTAGTTTATTGGAAGTTGGCGAGGCTTCAGCTGTATAATGAAAGTAGATATTTTCAATTATATAATCATTAAATAAATTTAAATTATTAATACTTAAGTTTATTTCACTAAAAAAAATTATCGATTATACAAACGTTAGGTTATATCTATTTATGTAATATAATCACATATTAGTTTTACAGTATTAATTTTTTTGGTAATATTTATTTGATGTGACATGTCTTCATTATAATTCAGATAAATAGTTTTTCAGAAAATTTAGGAATTACTCAATAAAAAAAACCACGAAATTATACACCGGACGATGGAACATAAATAGAGAAAACAGATACTCCCTTCTTGTCAAGTGAACTTCAAGGCTAAATCATGGCATTTCCCAAGATACACAAATAGCCATGTGAGCTAACCTAATAGTGGAATCCACTCTTGATTTGAATAGAGAAAATTTAAATTAAATTAGCGGTGAAACCGCAATTAGCTAAAATCAAGAGCGAGTTGGTGACTAATTCATAGTTAGTCTCTTCCCAACGACCATTCATGGGCTCATGGCCAAGATTTGGTCTTCTCCTTGACATGTCATCTCCTTGCGTCTAACGCCCTCTATAATCTACATTAATGACACCAGCCGTATCTCAACCAAACGGGTTTCCCCAATTTCGAGCCTCTTCCCTCCTTTTTGCCACGACTAAATCACAAAATAACAAATTTATTATCTTCTGTTCGGAGTCAATTGCGGTCAGGTTGGTTTTCATGTTTTGTAATGTATTTTGCTTTTCATAATTGTTTATAGTTTGTATGACATTGTTGTTATTGTATCCGCCAAGAACTAAATAATTACAATCTTGAAGCAATCATCGGATTCTTGGTGCAGATAATCAAATAGCTAGCTAGCCATAATGGCAGAATTTGTCAAAGAAACGAACCATAAAAAAATAAGGGATGATGGTGACTTTGAGAATTTAGCAGAGTCAAACCCGAATTTTCTACTTCAGCTCAACCTCCTTATAACGGTTCTTTCCTTGGTGAACTCATTATCATCAGAAGATTGCTTAAACTATGCAGAGAGGGAGACAGGAAATTTCAAAGATGAAGAAGATCGGCAGCCCTGCAAATCAAGATTACACTCCAGAAGACACGACATGCACGAATTCAAGCTTGCAGGAAGGCGCGCACAAAGATTTCAACCAATGATAAAGGATTGCCGGTAGGAAAATTACATTAAACTTAGATCATTTTCGTTACTGTCATCCATTTTTTTTCCTCTCATGCCCTCCAAAATACAGACGTCAAGTTATTCCTGACATCAGGAGATTGATGAGGCATTTCTCGTGTACAGGCATGGCAGAAGAACGTGAGAGGAATATTATCAAAAAAAATAATAAAAAAAGAAGGGGTGGCAAGTCCCCAAGAACAATGGAAGAAACTTCTTCCTCAATTTTCTTCACACTAACAATTATTACCTTTCTCCTGATTTTGCTCTTAAGAGTACCTTTGCTGCAGCTTTATACACAATTTTCTTGTAGCAATTTTTTATCTCTTAAATGAATTAATGATTTACATAAATGTCAGCTTGTTTAAAGATCAATACACTGGATTCTTATCCCAGTAGCACGGGCGACATGCATTTGTGCAGCAGATTTTTTTTTTTTTAATTTATTTCCAAGAAAGGCATCTGTTAAGCTTCGGGCTATTAAAGCCTGGGTGCAAAACACCAACTTAATATAATTTTTTTTAAAAAGTACATTTATAAGATTTAGTTGTCATTGGTTGGCCGCAATATGCTTAAGTACCATAAGCAATGGAAGGGTTGAGAAACAAAAGTATACCACTGCTCCTGGTTACTTGGTTCCATAGCTTCAAATAACCGATATTACATAATAGCCTTATTTAGCAGATTTAGATATGTCTGTTATTATTTATACATCATTGTAAAAAAGATAATGTTGTTTCACACGAATAATGGCAATATACACCGTTATTTTTATATAATGCTGATATATGTCATTAATGGATGAATAACTATCGTTATTTAAAAAAATATTTTTTTATTCTTTGTGTTTCAATGTTGTTTGCGTGATATTAAATTATTAAAATAGTTATTAACTTTCATTTGTAATAAATTCAATTACCAGCCTTATATGATATTAAACTATTAAAGATATTATTATTATGTTTAATTAACAAAACTATTAAAAATATGTGAATTGGAATAAATTTATCAATAATTATTAGCTTGTTAATATACATTCATGATATCAATTGTCGTCATTATTATTTTACCATTGCATAAGTCTGTTATCCGTAATCGCGATGCGACCATTTTTACAATATTATATTCCCTGCAACTCAATCATGTACCAACAAAAAATGAATAAACTATAAATTAGTTCCTCTATTTTCAAGAAACGAATTAATTATTTTTTCTTGTTTTAACAACGAATTATTTAATTCATTGACCAATGTTAATCATCCTTAATTTAATATTATTTTATTAAATTTTTTTCCCATCAATCCTTTCGTAGTATTTATTTGTTTTATTAAAATAAATTAAACAAGACAAAAAAGATTAAGTTACACAAAAATTTAAAAAATATAAGAATTAAATAATTAGTTTTTTATAATTAATTCATTTTTTTAAACCTAATGAATTAATTTATAATTTAATGCAGCAACAACAAACAGACATAAGTATGATTCTCCAACCAAAAGGTTGCCTTTGTTAAGTTTAACATGAGAATAAATTAGAATTCAATTTGGTGAATGATCAAATTAATAATAACAGAGAAATAGTTTAGTCTGATTTTATATAATGATGTATGTTTTTAATCTTTTTTATATTTTTAGCTGAGCTAATTTTATCTTCATAAAATAATTGAATTCCCAAATAATTATTTCGTTAACTTCTATCTTCTAAATTAACATAATGAAGCGTACACATTACTTAATATTAGACCGCAAGTTTCATTGAAGAGATAGGGAAAAAGAAGAGAGGAGAAGGAGGTTTTGAATTTCAGTATAATATTAAGTCATGTGCATGACTAGTTTAGTTAATTTGAACAAATAAATTTAACAAAAAAAATATATTAAAAACTCAATCATTTTATAAGGATAAAATTAATCTAATTAAATATATAAAAATAAATTGATAACTAACTCCATTATATAGAGAGAACTATTTCTCCAACAATAATTCTCAACAAGGCAATTAATAGCAGTTTGGACTTCATATATGTATTTTAAATCACTGAAGTAAGATTTAAGGATGGATTAGGCTATTTCATTGTATAGCTCAAAATTATATTATGAAAAAAAGTAGAAAAAAAGAAAAGAAAAGAAAAGATGAAAAAGAAAATAGAGAAAATTTTCTATTTTTCATAAAAAAATTCGAAACTATAATTTATAATATTCATCTTAACTTTAGTATTTGTGGTAATCTAACTAAAAAAAACTATTTTTATTTCATTCAAATTAAAATTACCATGAAAAAAAATTGTGCTTATTAACTTGAAAAAATATTTTATATTAGATTTATTATAAAAAAAATAAATTTATGGCATTGAACAAATATGAAAATATAAAAAGAAAATAATTTTATTTTTTGACGTTTTACTTCGGTAAATACATTTTATATTTTCTCAAAAAAAATTAAAAAAATTCCATCTAAAATTGTTTTTCCATGTCATTAGTACCGCATTATTACTTTTTTCACTTGATTCCCTGATATCCAGGTTATAATTACTATCCCATCACTATTTAACATTTCATCATTGTTGTCATGTCATATATGCTACCTCTTCAAATTTTACTTTATTATTATAAATTTAAAAATCAAAACATTTATTTAAAAAAGATTTGACGCTCTAGATTATAAAAATTCTGAAGATACTCATATTTATTATATTATTATCTCATTTTCTTCCATGTCCATACTTCGTGGATGGATATGTTATGTTAAGTACGAAAACGACTCCTAACTTTTCCATTTCTCGTTTTGCCGTACCGTATCTAAGCTGCCGGACAAGCCGGCGATCAGAAATTTTATGATACAAATAAAGTATCTAATGACATATATAATGATTATTTTATAGATATATTTTAAAAATAAAAATAAATACATTGAATTATATCTAAATTAATAAAAATGATAAAAAGGATTTTCAGATTTTCTTAATTTTTTTATTTATCTTTATCTTTATCTTTATCTCTTGAGTTTATAAAATAATCATTAATTAACAGCGATAGGAGTCAAGATATTTTCCGTAAACAACTTGGGATGTCCTCCGCCGTAGATTTGAAAATTAAAACAATCCCGACTGTTATCATAAATACCCGTTCTATCCTCCCTCATTCTCCTCTTTCGCGCGCTCTCACTCACTCAGGTCTCTCTCTTTACAGTCTAATAATAATCTTAGCTTTTTCTTCAATTAATTTCAGTCTTGTTCATTTACTCTTTACATTGCATTTTTGCTTGCTTCAATTATTTTTAATATGCTAATGCGAGCTTGTTTTTCTTAATTTTTTTTTGCCTTTAGCTTGTTTGCAAATACGCTGTGACCCGGCAACCCTAATCAGTTTGCTAAAAAGCTACAGAATTGGGTCTGTTTCCTTAATAGTTTGAGATCTGATTGCAATAATCTGAATTATACAATTTTGATAAATAAATTACTATTATTTAATGGTGATTTTGGGAGAAATTTTGATTTTTTTCCGCATGGTATTGATTTTGGTTTATGGGTTTTTATTAAGAAATTGTGTTATTATAATATTGATTAATGTAGTATAATAATCTACGCATTTTTTGTTCATTATCTGCACGACTAATTTATCTAGCAGCTATTTTTGGTCTAACTAGTTCTGTTTTTCATTTTTGGTTTCCAGGAAGTAAATTCGGTTCTTATGTGATTGCGGAAAGAAACAAGTTAATTAATACTGTTACTGCTAAGCCTTTCAAATAAATGGATTTTAAGGAAATCAAGAAACCTGCTGACTCTTCCAAATCGACTTCTTTATCTCAGGTTTGTGTTTTTGAAACCATTCTTATTTTGATTTTCGGTGAATTGGTCTGGCAATGAAATGATCAATTAAAAAGATGATTTCTAACATGTATACATAGTACATACTCATGAATGTGCGCATTCGTATAATTCAAGCCCTTCAGGGTTTTTCTTGAGGACTAGCTTTACTGATCCAACTGTAGTAGCTGTTGAGAAATGAATAGGCATATCTTGGTGCTGGAGAATTCCACCTATGTTTTCAGCATTAAATGATTAATCTTCTGTAAATTTATATTGTTTTGTGTGAGAAAACTTGTTAATTCTCTTCAAATTCAAGTGATTTTTTTGTAGTGGTTTGCTTGACGAAGGAAAAAAACAGTTGAATAGCTTGCTTTTGATGGTGTTCCAGCATAAAATAGTGCTGCCAGATTGGAACTTCACTTAATATGTAGGGGACTTCATTTCATATCCCTGTCATCATCTACATCTTCCTTTTGTTTAAAAGAACACTATGGTGAAATTGCTTTCTTTTGATGTTGTTCCAGTATCAAATTGCTTTCTACTTTTTCCATCTCTTGTCCCATCTGGTTCTCAGATTCAAGCAGGGTGAGGTGGGATTCGGGCCCGCTGCATAAAAATCCATCGTTAGCAAATCCTTGACCTCTTTATCAGTCAAAAACTCCTCTTTCTTGTATTTCAATTGGTATTTTAGACTTTCTTCTTTAATTTGTCACATCATGTGGATGTCATGCACATGAAAAAATTCCAGACTGAAGGGGAGGTGGCCTTTTATGTTGGCTTGTAATGTTGCTTGCTAACAATGTTTAGTACAAGTTCTACACACTGGTACTTCTCACTCCTTATATACAATGTAGCCTAAGACAACTAGTAACCATGAAATTATGTGAAACCAATAATGTAAGTTTGTAAAAAGTCATTAGTTTTAATGACAATAGCTTTATGCATTAGATAAATTTTTAGTCCCAAGGTCATTAAACAACCTCTTTTTTGGCAGGCTAGCAACTTGGTAGCAAGTCCCTAGGCTCTACACCATTTCTTAGAATGTCAAAAGAACTGTTGAGAATTGTTTTTTTTTTTTTTTTAACTTCATACTGCCTTGTTCAACTTAATATTTTTACTCCGTGTTGTTTATTATGCAGCAAAAATGTGAAGTATTACAAGCAACGGCAGTGGGGTTGAGAGCTGAGTGGTCTAAGCTTAAGGATGAGATGCACAATCTTCTTATGAAATGTGAAAGAGTCAAAGATGAAAATAAATCCATAATGGTTCACCTCAACCTGTTTCTTTTGATTATTACCTTTTTTATATTGTCAAGTTAATTTTCTATTATTTTATCCGATCATTCTGTGTCCTCATTTTATTAGCTTCCTAGTTATAATAATTTCTTGAAATTGATAATGTCAAGGATATATCAAATAATGTCATTTCTGTATTTATTTATTTTTATTAATAACATAATTGTTCAAGTTTGAATCTAGTTCTCACTACTAAGTGAAGCTCTCTTTTCCTCTCTCTTCCCCCTCAACATCAAAATTGAATAAGTTGCTAATTGATCATTGAAACAGGAGGAGCTAACCAAGATATATGGGCGAGATGCAATCTCGGATCTTGTAGCCATGGAATCTGATGCTATAAGTGAAAGCGACAATGAAGAAACCACTCCAACTGAATAGCACCAAACTGCAAAGTGAGATTTCTCATATATAACTTGAAGATAGAAGATAAATGTTGTTGAGGCAAATCAGATATTTGCTGAAGATTCATCAACAGAATAGACAGACATTCAGAATAAATTCTTTAGAATTACCTTAAATTTAGTAAATGGTGGATCATAAAGCTGTAGGACTAGGAATAGATATCCACCAATGTACTGAAGCTTGTCTCCAAAAGCTTCAAGGATAGAATAGGATATAAGATTATGGTTTTTGATCTGTATTCTGATTATGTACAATAGGAACTCTGATTTCTCATCCTAACAGTTTGTATTTGTCTGTCGAGGCATGAGAAATGAAGGATAATTTCATAGTCTGCAAGATTGTAAACTCATTTACCTTGGAAGTGGAAAGCTGTTGAAACACAAGCTACTCTGGATTTTCTTTATGAAATTAACTCGATGCGATTATTTTGATAATCCAAGGGGGTCGGTTAAGGACCTTAAACTAGCGGTTTCAGGTTACCTCAGCGGCAACTAAAACATCACCCACATCCAATTTTGAACAACCTTTATTGCAGGGCTGCACTAATGAGAAGAAACAACCAGAAATTCTCCTGGGACATCAATGCATATGAAACTCATGGAGACTAATATAGCATTCCTGTCAATATCAGTAGATATATCATAAACATAGGACTGAACTACAAAAACCAGCATCCTAGTTCGAAGACAACATGACATGAACTAAAATTCAACAGGAAGTAAGATTTGGAGTGGCAATACTGGAGCTGTGAGTGAGTTCAATGGAACTAAATTTACCTCGTCGATTGCAATGTTCGAGATCATGAAAAATACCCTCATTTTCCATGAAGAAAGACATGCACAGATAATGTATAGCAAAATGCCCTGGCATGTTTACTGGCGAGACACAACTACAAAAAAGTAACAAATGTTGTGCTAGAAAAGAGAATGAAAGAAAACCATCTGTTTGGGAAACACAGGGTTGCAAATGGATCATAAGCTACCTACATACACTTGAAATAGAATGGCATAAAATTTGCTCTGCCAGGGGAGCAAAATTTCCAACATGGACATTAGACAAGCTGCCTGGGGATTATGGCGCTGCTCCCATTGGGTCCTAGTTCTGAAGGCTTTGGCCTGTAAATATGTTTTGGACTATTCATTACAAGTCTACAACATGTTTGAAGGAATAAGCAGGAAATGCAGGGCCTATCTTCTGAAGAGCAGGAAAGAAACACCAATAAAAAAATTCATCATTCTGATCCATCAGGGAAAGAGCTTAGTGCATCTTGCTTGCCATTAACATAGAATTCCACCACTGCTTGCATACGTGGAAGCTTATCAGGATGGTAATTTATATGCACAATCACTGGCTTGAGCTTGCTTAAGTTAGCATTTTTCCGCACAGTTTTGAAGAGGACCTTGCTGTTCATAAAGAGATAGAAATCCATAGTTCTCCTGGATGCATAAAGTCCATCATACCCAGGATGTGAAGGGAAAAAGAGTTCCTCATTGAAAACTGCCTGGTCCCAAGCATTCCCATGAGATAGCCGATTGGCAACACGATCCAAAAGCTCGATTGAAGGAATTGTTGGTCTGATGTAGAAAAAGCCAGAGTTGTAAACCCATATCCTCATTGTATGGGCATATCGAGCCCAACCCATTGCAGGTTCATCGAAAACATCATTATAACCATAAGCTGTCATATTATTGTGGCCATCACTCATGGATTCCACATCTGAATCTCTATAAAGATAATGGAAAGGGTTTTGCAAAAACACAATATCAACATCTGATAGAAGAACACTGTATCCGAGCTGCAAAAATTCCCTCAAGATATGAAATTTCAGTCCCGAAACAGCATGATTGCCTCCAGTCTTTCCTACAGAATCAATTCCCTCATCTGGGTCTCTCTTATACACTGGAACATCATTCTTTTCACAAAACTCGGCAATCTCATCATCCAAAGCAACAACCAAATAATTGGGTATCCCCACTTTCTGGATGCTTGTAAACCAAACCTCCAACATCTCCTTTACATTTGAATTTGCCAAAGCAACTATAAGTTCCTTCCCAACAGCAACTTCCTCTAAAATTTTTGCTAACCTCGGGTTCACAGAATCATCTGGAACGATTGTTGGGTTCGTCCTTAAACCCTGAACGGTACCAAAAGGCCCTGCTTTATGCGGTTCACCCAGCACCAACACTTGCTTCTCTGCATGATCTTTACCTTGCTCAGCTAATCTAAGCTTTTCAGTCAACACATTAATCTGTTTTTTCAACTCAGCATTTTTCTCTGATTCAGCCACAAACTTTCCTTTTAACATGTTCAGCTTGTCGGATGATTCACAAGATGTTGATACCACCTAATATAACACATAATTAGAAACAGTAACAAAGTTATCATTGTGTTTAAGAATATAATCCCCATTCAAAGCTACCAATTAGCTAATGAAACTACGAAAAGTCTCAACAAATCTATACAGATCACATGAATATATTAACAACATTACATTATTGTTGATCTCATTATAACACTACCTAGATTTAGTTCATTGGCAAGAACAAACACAATTACATGCTGATTATCAATTTCCCTTCCAACAAAAATATGAAATATGGTAAATCAATACATAAAGCTTGAAGTCAACAACTTGATTTCCAAAAACAACAAGAAACAAAAAATCCTCAAAATAGAAAAACTAAATAGGATCTTGTAAATCAAATGGGATTTACTTATATAAACTTCAAGAAGCTCAAAACTGAAGAGAAAATGAAACCTTGGAAATGGATCTTGTGAGATGTTGATGGTGAAAGTGGGGAGAATTGGAATAGAATATTCCATGAGGGAAAAATAAAGCGAAGATACATCCAAGGAATATTCCAACGGCAATTGCAATTGCAATTCTTGATTTACGCAGTGATTGATTGCTGTTGTTGGTTCTCATCAATGCTCCGTCTCTGCGTCCAATCATCTTTCTTTCCTGGTATAAAATGGAAGGAGATGTTGTGTAGTTTCTTGTTTTATGCTCAGATGGGTTCGGTTGTTTTATTCTTTTTAATAATATACATGAAATGTAAGAGAATTAGTTTGGTTGACTTGAAAAGTCCCTACTCTGTGTTGAGAAAGAGAGACAGAGACAGAGAGATTTGGCTGGTTCTGAGAGTTGTTGAAGAAAATGGAAACAGTAGTGAAGAAGCAGTCGCAATTCGCAAACTCATGCCTCGATCAAGTGGGCAGATTCGTTAATAAGTTAATTAATTTAATCGATAGTTTTATCCAAATAGGCCTTCTTTAATTAAAAAAAAATTATCATGATATAAATCAAACAAATAAATCATTATTTTTTTTTTAGATATCAAAAATTAAGAAGAAAATTACAATTTTCACATTAAAACAAAATTAAAAAAATTCTTTACCATAATAATAGATAATAATCTTTGAGATATCAAATAGTTTATTTATAAATATTAATAAAAAACTCATTGACATTGGAACTTTCATTGAATATCACACATAGTTAGAATTACTACCACCATAAATCAACGAGAAATGAGTTACACTACCAAACCCTATGAATGGAGCCAGACTCTATTGATAAAAAAATCTCAAACATCTAAAATTTATCAAAAGTATCAATTATTTTTAATCAATAAGCAATACTAACCACGATCCAATAAAAGAATATCAAAACTTTATTATAGTAACAAAACATTTTAATAAAATAAAAATTTTGTGTACAAATAAATTTAAATTTAAAATCTAGAATTAACTTGTTAACACACTAAAAAAAATGTAAAAAAAAAAAAAAAAGGCTGCCGTAGAAAAGCACCGGCTAGAGTTTTTCTTCTTTCTGAGAAATAACCAAAAGGACGGAGAGAGAGATGGTTAGAATAGAATTTTTTTTATTTTATTACTATGGTAGCTAAATCCCTCTTCCTATTTATCCACGGCAAATTAGTACATATAAAAGATTTTTTTCCCCCGTCTCCTCCTCTTGATTTAAACAATTAAATAAGCCAAGTATTTTTTTCTCTGTTATTTTTTCAACCGAGACGATAAAGATTTGTAGTATCTTTGATGCCTACATTACCTGTTAATTTCTCATTTTTTGTTCATTAGCAGTCCAACAAAACCTCAACACTCAACAGGACAATAGGGATGGCTTTCATTCTTTATTCCTTCTCATTCAGAGCGAGTGAAATTTGATTTTATGTTTGCCTGATATAAGGCTGCAATATTACTTCACCAATAAATTTATGGTGACCATCCAATGTTTGCCGTGAAGGGCAAAGTTTTTCGTTTTGCCTTTTCTTAAGAAAGAAGATCAAACTTCCAACCATCACCATACTTTACTAAAAACCCGGTTTAAGAGAGGATTGTACGTTTCTGGCAAAGAGAGCAGAGCGGGGACCTTTCGCTTTAAGAACAAACTCCTAGGCCCGATGGAAAGCCACCTAAAATCAACTTTATTGGCTGTTAATGCTAAATGCATAAAAAAACAATAATGTGTTAAAAATTGACTAGTTGAAAATAGCCTGGCCCATGGACGTTATTATAACAAGATACCTTAACTCCGTCACGCATTCCCAACCACGCAGCCACCTTGGCACCACCCTCCAAAATATAAAAAACTTCTCTCTAGTTAATACAAGAAAGTCAAATTATAGCTTCAGAACCTAAAGAAAACATCAAACATAGAAGAGCATGCCATATTTTAAATTTTAATTTTCCAGACAATCGGCAATTGGCACCTTTGGTTCAATTTTTTATAAATGCCCTAAATATATACAGCTCATGTGAGGCAAAGTCATCATCCAGATTCCAAAACTTATATACGCTTAACTAATGCTTATCAGAAAGGAAAAGGTCAGCTACGACCTATATTCCCATGATGCAACTTTTTTCTTAATAAAAATCCCAATAATTGGAAATATCAACGAATTGCACTTGCTAGGATGGAAGCCTAATTAATCTTCAGCATCAGATTGGGAATCCTGGATACGTCTGGCTGGGCCTTGAAAGGCGCCATTTGCTTGTCTGTTCCCTGGGTGAATCACATCACGAGCTATTTGTTTCACTGATCACAGAAAGAAAAAAGAAAAAAAAACAGATTGATAAAAAAGACAATAAAGACATCAAGAGGATCTTAACACAACAGTTTATATACCATTTACGCAAAATATGTTTGACAAGCATGCATGATAGTGCTGAAATTTCATTTAGGGTAAAAATGGAAGGTATTCAATTTACAGAATTGCTTGGTTAAATCCAAATCCATACCTGATACCAGAATCTTCATCAAAATTGATTTTGCAAACTGAAATTCAGCTTGATGTGCACTGACAAACTTATTCTGCAAATCAAGTTATCCATCAGGCCACTTTCAATATCCAAATCATAATTTATAGTAATTGAGTAAATCGGTTTGGACTCTTAAGTCTAACAAGGGGCACACAGTTTATCAACTATGTCACTTACCATCAAGACTTTCTACTTACACAGAGCACTTTAACATCAAAAACTTAGAATGTTATATTGTTTAGGATAAGCCAAAGAGATTCAGTCATGACAGATGAATGCTCTAGAGCCCTTGTCCTCACTGTGCATAATATGATGTTAGCATGCTATGCAAGGAAGACCAAGATTTAATGATCTGCTTCTTCTAATCACGATAAGCAATGATACAAATTCTTACCATTTCACCATATAGAAACTCTACAATACGATCTAGTCTGGCTTGATGCCTCAACAGGAATGGGCGTAGATGGCTCGTATACAATTGCCTAGCTCCCTGTTAGATAAATGGCAAGCACTTATCAAAAAAAACTATTTTGTTCATTTACATAATAAGCGATTTACCAATATCAGATGGATTTACTTGATCACACTCAAACAGAGTATCCAATAAGCAAAAACTAGAATATTCATGATAAATGCAACACATGTTCAAACAAAAATTTATCCACAAAGTAAAAGCCAAAAGGATGAAGCTTACATTTGCAGATGGAAGCTGTAGCCAAACGAGAAATGCAAACTTCATGTGATAGTAGAGAGGAAACCTATTGTAACAAGGCAAAAGAGCTCTCTTAGAATGGGATACCTCGTCCAAATAAAGTAGTAAAACCAAGACTCGTGAACAAAATGGCATGACAAACAAATAGCAGTCAATGCTTTCCCCCATAAAGAATCAGAAAGGGAAAATCACTCTCAACAATGTTAAATGAACCTTGCATACTTAATACACATGCGAGAACTGAAGTAAGAGAAATGACCTATCTTTTTGAGAAAAGATTTCAATTAAAAACTATCATCATTTTATGTAATCTTCACTAAACCATTAACGATTGGCTTTCAGCCAACTATCAAACAATGGATACTTGTGTGGAGTTTTAACAAACATAATCATGACTCCCTACCATAGGGAAGCTTCATAAAATAAATTCATCCAATCTCACAATTTATTCAAGTAAAAACAACATAACATAGTGCAATCATCAAAACAAACAATTTCACAGAATAGCATAATTTGACATCACAAAAGCAGATATTTGCTGAAAGAAAAATAGAATTGTGTATGTAAACAGAGCTAATCTTTTTAGCATGCTAACATTTGATTCAACAAATTGTTTGCTTGATCATGGGAGAGCATCACCAAGTGAATTGGGTGATTTCACAGAAAAAAGAAAATCAGCGCCGAAAAGAAACATGTTGGAAAGAACCATACCAGGAGAGAATTTTATCTGCAAAGATTTCCGCAATGCTGAAAGATCCAAAAGCTGCAAATGATAGAACGCTCAATAATATCAATTTATCAGTATAGCATCTTTTAATGATTAAAAAAGAAGAAGGAAGTGTTAGAACTGACCGGCCCAGTAGAGAAGCCATCGCTGTTGCTCAATTTGATCTTTCTTTTCAATAGCCTTAAAAGTTGAGTAAACTGGTAAGACAATCCCAACAGAGCAGCTGCAGAAACCATGTATTATTCACGCATTCATCAGAAGAACATAAATAATTAACTCTAATTACAACGGAAAAAAAGTCATTACCATGCTGTACGGAGAACGATGTTGGAATTAAGCGGTGAAAGAAGCAATTGCAATCCAACCTGTATAACCGCAACACAAAGAAGAAGCAGCAGCACCTCACAAATTAACTCTTCTTTTAAGATATATTTCTTTATTAACGCAGAAAAACATGAACAATCCTATTTTTTGATAAATCAAATTAGGGAAAACAGAGAGAGTGAACAAACAGTGACAGTCAATTTTGATGATTACTTTTTGTTGTTGTTAGTTTGAAGATTGTTAAATTTCATCAAATTTTTTTTTTTTTTTTGAAAATAATAGGAAAAAATGTTTTTTTTTTTGAACTCATGGGAGTTTACTTTAAGAAAGATCAAGTATTAAAAAACGAAACAGAAACTAGAGGTTAGAAAGAAATAAAGAAAACGAACGACAAGTTCGAATTAAGTGAAAGGATTGAGGGAAGAAACAACTATTGATGCATGGATTCTTACCTGTCCTGGAAACGCCATGGAAATTCGACTTGCAGAGAGAGAGAGACAGAGAGTGCGCGGGTGTAAAATACATGAAAACGAGAAGTGATGAAGTTTGTATCCGAATGAAAGAAAGGAATAAAAAACAGAGAAATTATATATATATATATAAAGAGAAATAATATATATATATATATAAAGAGAAATAATATATATATATATATAAAGAGAAATAATAAATGTAAAACATTAAACAAATATTAACAATTGAGCAAACGACGCAAGCGGTGTCGTGGTGTAGTTGGTTATCACGTCAGTCTAACACACTGAAGGTCTCCGGTTCGAGTCCGGGCGACGCCATTTCTTCTTAAACAATTTTCGTATTTTAACATTTTTGGCACACTACTTTGTTTAATTACATTTTACCCCATTTATTTTGGATTAATTATGAGTTGAAACCGAATCATTCGACTCCTTTTCCCTCCAAGACAACCTCAAAGCCATTTCCATTTCACCAACTCAGAAGCATTCAAACTAGAAATCTGTATGAACAGGATAACAAAAGACGCTTAAAATTTCCAGGTTATAAAAGAGATGGCGTTTCTGAGAACCTGGAAGAGCAAACTATTTCACTACCAGGTGATTGATGAGCAAAATTTTTAGAATATTATTCATAGTAAAAAAAAAAAAAAAGGTTATTATGCATGTATATTCTTAGTGATCAATCATTGCAAATTTGCGACTAATTCGGTCATGTGCTGCTTCACCAACCAAAACGGCCTGATTAAGCATTACTGTGCTTATAAATTAGCATCAGTTTCCAAGCGGATGAAAAATCACTAATATACAATAAATTTGCTCTTATTTTTATTTTTTGGAATTTGAAGGCTCTAAACAGTACAAAGAAACGAGCACTGTAAGGAGGCACTCATTCAGACCACCCTCTTCTTTCATGATTTAGACTTGTTGTTTCTTTCCTTTTTTTTTCTTTTTTGTTGGACCAACTTCATTTAATAAATGCTCATAATCCTCAAGACTTGCAAATGGGGATGGGGATGCGCCTACCTTCCCCTTTAGACTTCCGTTTTCTTTTTATGTCCCTCAAAACAACCATCTGCATCTCCAATGTCACCGTCTCAGTCATCAATGATGTCAAAATCTTCCCTTTGGCAGTATCTGAGGGGGCATCCACCTCTGCATCATCAACACAGCAAACCAAGTTTTCGGCATCTTCATCCGCAACTTGGTCCAAATCATCATAGTCATATTCATTTTCTGCTTCATGAGACAGATCATCAATCTCTTCATTATTGCTCTCATCATCACCATCACCCGCGTCAGCTTCATCTGCAGCTTCCTTCTTTTTCTTCATTTTATTCACATAAAACTTGTGGAAGACGATATTTTCTGGAGGTCCATCTACTTCAGCCAATGAAAGAATTTTGGGCCCAATCAAAGGATTTAACTATAAAAAACTCAAACAACAAGGTGTGTTGCTGAAGCATTAGGAAACCATGATAGAACTGTGGCATGGCTCCTTGACAATGCATGTCACCCCACTTTCAGTTTACAAAATGCATACAATCCTAATGTGCTGTTCAAAATCCTTGGTGGATTTGACCTTGGGCTTTGAAGAATTCCAGTCCCAGTATCAAAACAGTTGTGACGGTTGCTACAGCACTAAACATCTTACTCCATTGCATTTCTCCATCTGGATTTTCGCATTGGCTTCAGTGATAGTTATCATCAAAAGCTCCAGTCTATCATCCTGTTTCAGAATGACCAAAAAAAATAACTCCTAAATGTTAAGGTATCTGGAAAGAAAGGTTTTTCGAAGTTCAAAATAATCCTACATGACTATGAAGATTGATATGACTCCGATGGTTAGACTTCATTGACCAATACAACATGGAGTCCATTGCTTAGCATGCTGGGATAAAGGATCACATAAGAAACCTTACTCTATGCACATACCAGAAGGGGCCATTGGAATCAGAACATGATCTTCTTATCTTTCCCAATAGAGAGAATCACCATTTTTTTAATGCAAAAGTGCTGTAGAAGTTCCTTGCATCATTGAGCTCCTTCTCCAAAGATCCTCTCATTTACATGCATACTTTCTGATGGATGAAGAAGGGAACAGATGCACAGAAAACAAACTTTGGTAGAAACAGGAATAAATAACACGAGAATAGGTAGGGGCGCTCATGGTAGTAGACATGAAGTGCTATCACGATAGACTAGCTTTTGAATACTTCCCTGCTGAACATCCTCTGCCACTCCAAGTCCAACTCCCCATCCTCATTGCAGGCTGTACAAGCTTTTGAATCATGTTGGCGTGCCAACATTCAGAACATCATCTAACAGAATGCCCGAGTGATTTCATAGAGTTCTTTTGTCAAGAAGTCCAACATTGAATAGATAGACTCTGCTTTTGAATGGGTTCTATTATCAGAGGTGAATGTATGGACTCCATTATCCAAGCATACCCAACTGCAACCAGCAAACTTCCTGGCCTCCTTTCCTCTCATCTCCTTCCTAATCCTCCCCATCTCAGCCCAGTTCCCTTCTGCTGCATAAACATTAGCCAACTGCACATAACGAGCTCCACTATCACCTTCAATCTTTAACAGTTTCTCCTCTGCTTCTCTAGCTAATTCTTTGTTATTGTTCAGCCTACATGCATTCAAAAATGACCCAACCACTGCAGCATCCAGATGTTCTCTAGGAATTCTTTGAATGAATAGGACCATCTTTTCTAGTTGGCTAGCCCTTCCATAAAGATCAATCATGCATGCATAGTGATCAGTCTCAGGCAGTATGTGATAATCTTCCATCATGGAATAAAAAGCTTTTTCACCCAAATCTACCAATCCACGATGACGGCAAGCTGACAGAAGCGCAACAAAGGTAACAGCATCTGGTCCAATCCCTCCCTCAAACATTTCCTGAAACAGATTTATAGCTTTAATCCCATACCCATGATGAGCATAACCAGCTATCATTACATTGTAAAGGACTAAATCTCTTTCAATAACATTCAGGAACATTTTTTCTGCATATGGTATACTTCCACATTTTGAGTACATATCAATCATAGAAGTTGTCATCTTCATGTCCATTTCAACCCTCATTCTGAATAGATAGCCATGAATTTGCTTCCCAGGACCAATTGCAGCTTGGAATGCACACACACTAAGTGCACTGACAAGGAACATAGCATCGGGAATTACAGCTTCCTTGGCTATATACTCGCTCAGAAGTTCAAAAATAGAAACACATTGCTTCAATTTGACATAACCACTAAATAATGCAACCCAAACAACAGAATTCTTCTCTTCCAAAGAGTCAAAAAGCCTACGAGCTTCCACCATATTTCCTTGTGATGAATACCCCACAATCATTGAAGTGATGGAAAAGGAATTTCCAATCCCACTAGTCAAATGCAATGACTCTGCATACTTCATATTCCCACACTTGCAATAAACATCAACAATGCCGCTTTCTACAAAAGCATTCGAATTCAATCCATTCTTCAAAATCCAAGCATGCATTTCCTTACCAATCTTCGAGTTCCTTAAATCAGCACAAGCACTCAAAACACTACCAAAAGTATGCTCATTCCATTTAACACCATTCTCCCCCATACAAACAAACAACTTTAGTGCCTCCACCGGATAACTATTTTGAACATAACCTGAAATTAATGTATTCCACGAAACAGAATCATTCAACTCACTTTTACTCCAAAAAAACCCCAAAGCCATTTCCATTTCCCCTTCTCTACAACATGCTGCCACCATTGCATTCTTCGAAACCAAATCAAAACCCCTTCTTTTTCACACCCTTTAAAAACCCAACAAGCCTCTTTAAAGAACCCACATTTAGAATACATGTCAATCAAAGAACTCACAGCAAACAAACTTCTATCATTACCGGTTTTCAGCATATATGAATGCAATTGCCTCCCATAATACAAATTACATAACTTAGAAAACAAGTTAACCATACTTGTAACACTAAAATCATCAATGCCAATCTCATTTCTCTTACTTTGCAAATCAACAAACAAATCAAGGGCATTTCTTTCATATCCATCCACATTAACATAACCCGATAACATAATATTATAAGTGACCAAATCCCTAACAGGAGCAGAATCAAAAATAAATTTTGCTTTTGCTATGTTCCGGGATTTTATGTGGACAGAGATCATTGTATTCCAAGAGTAAATGTTTCTTTGAGGCATTTCATCGAACAGTTTCTGGGCTTCATTTATAAGGCAGCGTTTGGAGTACACATTAATGAGTTGATTAGAGGTTATGATTGGTAGTGTAAAACCGGACTTTATGGATCGAACATGGAGCATTAATCCATCTTTTAAGGACCTCATTTACTATGATTGCATGGAAGAAAACATTTTATGAATAGAATTGCAGGAGGGATTTTGAACAGTGAGGTTTGAGGAGGGAAAAACGATTGGTGTCCAGCTGCGACCTACGTGTCGTGTGAAGCAAATGACATGCTGTTCATTATTAGAAAGAGTGTAACAATTATGAGGGTTTTAGGCTCTATTGGGTCTGGGCAGGAGCATCTTATTGGGCTTCAATGTTTTAGGTCTTGTTTTGGGCATAACCCTATTAAACCAGATAGATTTAAGGAATAATTATCAGAAAAACCTCTTAAAAACATCTTCATTCTAAAAAGCCCAATAACATATTTTTTAATACACCAAACCCAAAATGAAAATTTTCTTATCAGACACCCATTTGTTAACCCTTCAACTTAACTAGTTGATATATTTTATTTGTTGACCAAAATATCCTTTCATATTGTCAAAAACTTCTTCTTTTTTTACACTTCTGCTTTTTTTTAATTATTGACCAAAATGTCCTTCTGTAATTATTTTAGGAATTTTTCCAGAATTACTTCAAGAAAAGATTTGAATCGTTAAATTTATAGAATCCTTTAGTAGATTTCGGTCTTTGAATTTATAGAATCCGCTAATAGGATCTGCCTATTCAGTGTTCTAGATTCTTCCAATTGTGATTTCAGGAAGGACATTCAGTAAAACTAACATTACCAATAGTTGATGGACTAAGTTTTTCATAGTCTAAACAGTTAGATGATGTGGATCTCAAAATTGACTCTAGTTCTAAATCTTTCTTTAGTAATAGACCAACTTTCTAGTAGCATAAAGGCTTTTGATGTTTTCTTAGGGGTGGTCAGGCCAGTCATGATCCCTGAAAAGTGATTACTATTTTAGTAGGGTGATAGTTGATAGGTTATTAGGGTATGAAATAAAGGTTTTTACTAGATTTTTAATTACTACTTTTATTCTAAAAAATCTTCTCTTTTGACTTTTGCATGGTCTAAAAAATTTATTAATTGTTATGTCATATGAACCTTTTTTTATTCATTCTTTTCTAAAATATATATATATATATATTTTTTTTTTGTTAAAATTGTTAGTTATAATCCAATATTATATGAAATCAATATTAATTTAATGATAATTTTTTTCCAAAATTAAAATGGTAAATCAAAAAAAATATTAAGTTAATTAACAATCAAGTATAAAATAATTATATAAAAATAACATACTAATGAAAATATTTTACTCTCAAAATTTCGATATGCGGTAAAGTTTTTACAAGAATAGATATTTTCATGTAACAATTTTTATTTTTTATTTTTTGAAAATTGCATGTTATAAGTATCTGTATGTATAAGATGTCTAAGGAAAAAAATACAAAGAATATTAAACTTGTTTAATGAAGAACAGAAAATAAAAGAAAGAATTGATTGTATTTATCAATTAAGGGTATTATCGAAAAGTAAGTTATTTAAAATTTTGACCAAACAAATATTTTGAAACATATATAAATAAAAAGAGACAATTTGTTTGAGATAGAAGGAATACATACTAACATGACAAGAAAACAGAGAGAAGGTTTCCTTTGGGATTGCAAAGAGTTTATTTTCCAAGCTGGGTTGAACAAGCAACCGGTTCCCTTCCTTACAAATCAAACAAGAAGTGACACTCGAGTCATTTTTAGTTATTTAGCTGTTACTACCAGATCAATAACTCAACGACCAAAACATGGATACAATTGGCAGAAGGAGATTGACATGCTTCTCAGAAAAGGTGCCTTGTACTTAGTTTGGGAATGCTGAAACTTCAATCCCAGTTTGATTTACAACGATCTGAGTGGCTCACCACTTCAACTTTGTATTTTTTGTATTTTTCAACAACAAAAATATCAGATGGCTAAAGCATCGATTGATGAAGCAAAACTTTGGCAGCCGAATATATGGACCTCGCATCATCTACACAAAAAACATCAAGAAAAAGCACTGGTTACGGCCTCAATGAGACGATACGACCCAGCTATATTATTTGTAAAACCAAAACAGGGTCGAGGTTATTGGTCAGGTTGACTATCTACATTCGGGGTGCACTGACAGAGTCCCCAACATTTCACCAGTGAAATATACTTGGATAGTTTCCTTGGCATTTGGGATGACTGTGTTCTAAATGATGTGAAAATGATTATGCCAGGGATTAAATAAGTGGCAATGCCAACTATCTTCAGAATCATCATGATAATAATTGACAAAATTTTTGCAATGAGGACAGGGAACATGAAACCTCTGGTTGGCTATAGCTACATTAAATGCAGAAGCCTAATGCCCTGAGATGCTATTATTCTAACATCATTTTAATGATAAAAAATATTTGTTCAGTTCCTATTGTGACAAAATTTTCCGTGTAAAATGATGCAGCTTCCCATGCATACCTGAAATTGTGGCCAAACTAAATTCTGAAGGCACATTCGCCTCTCCCTCCACAGCATTTTTGGCTGCTGCCATACCGACTGCAATGCTCTGCATAACATCTAAGCCTGAGCAGATAGAAGCAAGTGTCCCACCAACCAAGCAGTCACCAGCCCCTGTTAGCCTCAAAACTGATGCAGGAAGTGCAGGAAAATGTACAGCAAAAAGATTGGAGCGTCTGTTGATCTGCATAGCACCAGAAAATCTGCTTGAAGGACAGCCAGATGTAACATTATCATATAATTGTCCACTGAAACCATACTTTTTGGTTCTACCCGAACTAAATCTCATTAAGTTTGGTCCTGTAGAGCATAAGAAAACTCCATCTGCACCAAGGGTCACGACAACTATCTTGATGCCCCTCTCTAGCAAAACCAAGATTGCTGGTTTCAACAACTGGAACAAAGACTCCACTGAACACTTTCTGTTGGTATCCCTTTCAATTGGATGAAACATAATTTCACAAGACAAAGCATTTGCCATGGTGATAAGCTCATCCTCATTGGGTGAAGCAAAAGTTACCTGTAAAATTTTCCAAATCAGTTTCAAGTTCAATGTGTAATGGATAATAAAGGTATTGCTAATTCAAGAAGTCTTTCTAACAATTCTTTCTGCTGTAAGGTATTGAATAACAGTTTCACTCATCAAGTACGATCAACCCTTTCATTGAAATGAGACATTAAACTGTTATTATTTTAAAAGTTCATAATGCATAAGGAGAAGGTAGGCATAATTGAGCAGTAACAGAGAACTAAATTTGTTAACCCAACAAACTATTCATTTCTTTTTCTGCTGCAAGGTAAATTACACATTGAGCTATGTACAAAGATGGAATTGCAGCAGAATTTACACCATATCCTGCCCAACCTACTGATCAGAATGACCTGGTATATATGCTCCTCTTTCCAGAAAGTTTCTAGCCTTTCTCAGTTATCCAAAAAGGATACTGATCAAGAAGTACAAACCAACAAGTAACACTGATCTGGCTAATTTCTGAGTACAATGTAACTATTATGAAGTTTGATTCACAAAGAAAAACAAAAGGGGCTGACCTAGAGAATCTCATTTATTTCCAAGTTGGAAACAGAAACGGCCAACTTCAAAAGCACTCTTAAAAATAATTGATGATGCATCATGAGTAAGTGAAAATATCAGAGCACTCACATACTTGACAACCGAGGCAACTCTTCTAGATTTAGCCACTGAAACAGGCTCAAACCAAACAGGGATGTTGGATTCTACAGCCACTGAGTGAGAAAAAAAGGTTAATTAACAAGAAAGTAGAAACATGGAAAATTTATGATTAGCATAGATTTGATAATTCACCATGCCAAGGATTATGTGCGTGCATGTGAGTGAGCGAGTAAGTGAGAGAGAGAGAGAGGAGTCTACAGTGATATGCTACAAGTACGTTGGCAAGCAGCTTCTAAAGCTGGAAGACTTAGATTTGCATCGATCATCATGACAGGAGCAGAAGATATATTGCATTTTGATTGCTGAATCCATGAAGGAGTGAGGAATTTTTCCTGGAAAAGTTTATTTTATAAGCAGTAAGTTTGTGAAGGTATTTTGTTCTTTAACTTATACAGGTCAGCAGCCAAAAAAATCGAACTATTTCAACATAATCCACATAAAAAGAAACCAACTCACAACTGCTTCTACGCTAGCAACAGCAGCTGCCAACTCTCCCTCAGTGTCAAATATGTTGCAAATGACTGGAGTCTTGATATCTTGGTGCTTCATAATGCCTACTCCACAGGTGATGTTTAAGAGAAAACAGAGCGAGTATCTTGATTAAATTTCACCCAACCTTTTCATTACTGTTCCAATTAATTTCCAAGAAGAACATTGAAAAAGAAATGAATGCTTTTCTTATTATTGGTAAACAATACCCAAAACTTTCAATTCTTATGTATGATAGAAAGATCTGGTACATTCATAGACAATAGAGATCTTACTAATGAAAATCTCTCAAACACACACAATTGTAGAATAACACTCAATGCACTTATCATAATTTTCCTCTGCACTAACTCTTGTTGTCTTTTTCCTATTTATGATTTCTGGTGTTTAGATGACTTTTTAAGTTATTTCAACAGATGCATAACATTCCACCTAATACTTTAGAAATCTACATCATTTTCACATGCAAACAGCATCTCATAATGTGCCATTATAACGAGCAACTTCTTATACACTAGATTAGGAACATGAAATATAACCAACAATTCAAGCAAAGCTATGATGACGACAGATGATTTAGGTGGTAAATATTAAGGTCTAACCTTCTGTGGATAGGCTCGCAGAATTCCAATGCTCCAACAGCAACTTCCCTATTAAAAAGAAGAACGTTTCACTTTGAGAAGCTCTTTTGGCAATTGACAACATCATTCAAACCGAAAAACTTTCCAAGCTATATACCAACAAAACAATTAAGCCGAAAAAAAAAAAAAAAAAAAAAACTCTTCCAAAGAAATGCCTTTAAAGCTCCAGCCACACATCAGAACGGAAAAAAGAGAGTAAAATTACCCGCCATGTCATTTCCCAGGGCACTAATCATATAAGGCTTAGTTCCTAGCTTTGACATACACTCGGCAATATTCCTTGCTACACCTCCCAGTACGTAATGGACCTGAATCCAATCAATCCCTTCATGTAAGAACTTTCTATTTGCATCACAACCTCTACCAAAAATACAGATTATCATCAACAGTAATAGAAAGGAAGAAAAGGGTATTGAGATGATAAACACGCACCTTCCCAGGAGTCGTGGTTCTAGGATTTAGAGGGAGCGAAGGGGTGGCATGTATATCCAATACCATGCCTCCTATAACTACTGGATCTCCCTCCTCCTCATATCCTCTTTGCCCACCATTTATTAAAACCTTTTACAAAAAATAGTAGACATCAAAGTACACCAAAACACAGTGGCAGAGACAAAGATATTCAGAGCAAGAGTTAAAAAGCCGATGTCAATGAAATATTCTAACCTGGGAGAGACCATTATTGACTTCAAGTGGAGACAACAGGTGCCCATAAACACATCCCAATCTCGTCTGTGCACTGCTTTCCATTTAGTCTCTCTCGTTTCCTCAGGTGGGCATTGGACTTTGTTTAGCTAGCAAGGGCTAAATGGGTAAAACCTTATATCAACTTTAGTATGTTTAAAAATCGGTATTTTAACTTCAAGTATTAAATTTGACATTTTATGAATTTTTTTTTTATAAATTTAATCGATCTTTTAATTGTTTATAAAAAAATTATAACCATATAAATATCTGCATGATAAAAATCATTGAGTAATATTTAAATGAAAATTTTTAAAAATTTAGAATTATTTTAAGTTATTTTTTATCTTTTCTGATTTTTTACATTTTTAATGTTTAAAGAATATACTTTCCCATCTTGAAAATCTTTTAGAATTTCTTTATAAAATAAATTGAATTTTTTTGCACCATAACTTCAGTTTAAAATATTAATAACTGATTTTTTTTAAAGAAGTGGGTGAATTTTAAAAACCATAAGATAAATTAAATCTTAAATTTTAAAAGAGGTTAAATTCGAAATTAAAATTTTAGTAACTGATTTTGATTTTGAAATGAACTAAAATTAAAATAAAGTTAGACCAACTTAACCGTTAACAGGAGGGAAGTCTTTTACCCTATGCAGCAGACAGCCGAGCGCTGTATTGTTGCGGTCCTTGAGAACTGGGTAGGTGTGTTCCATTTTTGGGTAACGTGGCAGTCAGAATATTTTTAACCCAGTTGTTACAGTCCTGGACCTCCTGGTTAAGGAAGCTGTTTTGGTTAGAAATAGAAGTTTTGTACCGAAAAGATCCAAACTTTGTGCTGATATTGAAAGCCCAAAAAATATGGGTCAGAAATATGATCTTCGTCTGTGAACTTCGATTATCAATGTGAGAGTCCAGGGAGCTGCTTTGTTTACATATGTAAAGATAATAGAATTTCATTGATATCGAAACGAAAAACAAGAACCTAATGAATTTCAGAGTTTTCATTTGAGAAATTTAATCCAACCCAAAAATTCTTCCCGAGATCAATTCTGGAATAATTTCATTCCTTGAATTAATGAGACGCATTAATTCACTTATTTAACATATGATTTTTTTATTTACTTAATTAATATATGATATTTTTGAAAAATATATATATATATTCAATATGGTTACCGTTATTTATGGCGTACTAATCTCACAAGGACGACCCACCCAAGAGAAATAGACAACAATTTTTTATTCGAGTCAGAGGTAGGTGGAGCTTTGTGCAAAATCCACAACCCACGTCAAAACTCAACTTGCATATTCCTAATAATTTTATTATTTTTTTTACATAGAATTATTCATTTATCAATATTTTATTCTATAAATAAATATAAGACTTTCAATGAATCGGATTTAAATTGAATCATAATAGATTCGGGTGAAATTTATTTAATAAAAAATTTAGATCTTATTGGATAAATTTTTAAAATATAATTCAGATTCGAATTTTAATAGATACGAATTGAATTTAAAATTCTATCAAATTTATCACTTGCCTATTCCTAATAATTTTATTAATTTTTTACATAAAATTATTCATTTATCAATATTTTATTCTATAAATAAATAAATAAAAAATTTTCAATGAATCGGATTTAAATTGAATCATAATAGATTCGAGGTTAAATTTATTTAATAAAAAAATAGATCTTATTGGATAGATTTTGAAAATATAATTCAGATTCAGATTTTAATAGATGCGAATTGAATTTGAAATTCTATCAAATTTATCATCTGATTTTTATAGAAAAATCTTATTTGCAACATTTAATATACTAATTCAATATAAAATTTATTTTGACCATTGCATATATAAGAAAATATGTTAGAATAATATTTTATCAGTTAATTTTATAAATAAATAAATAAAAATACTATACAATTCAAAGTGCAAAATCAATAAAGAAATTAGTATTAAAGAATAGAGGAAACAAATGTCTTCTAAAAAAAAACTGCTGGAAAGAAAAAATCCAGCGCCAATTTGTTCATTTGAAAAGACCAAAGGCCAAGAATGATGAAGCGTAGAACTAATTTGTGATCTCCTTGACATTTTATCAATTAAAAATTCTGCTATTTTAATTGTGATCGCTAATATCAATATATAATATATCAAACAGGTAATAGATATAATCCATTATTTGACGTCTTAGGCGCGAGATAAACTAATTTTTTTCAAATTCATACCAACAGAGTATGATAGCAATAATTACTTTAAAAATTCCCTTAATCTTTCTTTTCTTTTCTTTTCTAATTCAACAATAAAAATATTTTCGAATTAACTTCCATATATCTCAAGATAAATCCCTTACTGAACATAATTAAGAGATACTTTACAACAAACAATCTCATATATTTTAAAAGTAAATTATATATTATGTTATTTTAATTGTGATCGCCGGTGTCAGCATATAATATCTCAAACATATAATAGATATAATCCATTATATGACGTCTTACGCACGAGATAGATTTTTTTTTTCAAACTCATACCAAGAAAGCATAATGGCACTGATGACTTTAAAAATTATCCTAATCTTTCTATTTTCTTAAATCTATAGCTTCGCTTCTCAAAATTTAAGCCGGAAAAAAAAAGGACAGTAATTATTAAAGCTCCAAACGAAATCAAGGATTGGGAAAGAGAATGACAATATATATATATATATATATATATATATATTTAAAAAAAAGGTATATAAGTCATGTTTTTAAAAAGTTGAATGGAAGAGAAACTCTCAAAAAAAGATTGTATATCAGTTTATAAATTTTTTTACGAAACCAAGTAAACAACAAGATTACACTTTGATTTTTTTTTTTAAAAAAAAAACACAGTGTTATTGTAAAAAGATATGACGTGATTTAGAATTTAAAATAAATAAATCCTATATTTCGACCTAATCTTGTATTTAAATTTTTAAATATTTTTAAAATATCATATTTATTAAAAATAATATTTTTTTAAAAATTTTAGATTGAGTTATTGTCAAATTGAATCAAGATAAATTCATATTTACTTCATTTAATAAACAAATTAGAAAATTCAAATAATAATCAAATTGAGATCCTAAATAATTTATATCAAATTTATTTAAATAAATTGGATTCAGATCCAATTCACGATCAATCCATTAACAGAATAGCAGTCATATGTAAAAATAAATTGACCAATGGAATCGGATAAGGCATTTCATATAATCTTTTGTTCCCCTCATTTAATTTTTTATTTTCTGCTTAGTTATTTTTTTTTTTATAAATCAAATATTCTAAACTTTTAACAGAACTAATTATTAAGATTTGAACTTACAATCTTTTATCATAGATCATTATTATTGAACTACAAACTTTTTAATTTAAGTATCTTATACTTAGTTTTAGTATCTAATCGAATTTAATTCTATTAGAATAGAAAAAAAAAAGAGAGGGCATGAATACGTTGTATCACAGCAAAATCTGTGACTGTTCGATTTAGTCGCACCACTCAGGTTTAGAGAGAGAGAGAGAGAGAGAGAGAGAGAGAGAGAGAGAGAGAGAGAGAGAGAGAGAGAGAGAGAAGGGGGGTGGTGAAGTGACATTTCTAATAAGTGTGACTTATGGCAGCAATTGGGCTCGTGTCCAATCGTATTCATCTTGTTGTTTTTAAATAGCAGGCCACGAGTTCAGACTTTAGTTTTTTTAAAGGCCCACTCTCCTTGAAGATGTAACAAAAAGCCCAATAACTTCCGTTGATACGCAATTAACTACCTTACTGCTGTATAGGGCGAAAGGAAAACAATAATAATAATAGTAGTAAATAAATAAATAGTAGGAGTAAATAAAAGTGGGCCATAAGTAATTTACAAATTTTAAAGCTACGATATCATGGCATTTAGTTACAAGTGAGTCGACAAGCCTTATCTCTTCCTATTGGACCTTCAAGAAAATAGATTTTGCCCATATTATTACAATCAACAATGCAACAGAGGCCTTTCCGTCCCTGGTAGAGCCGGCTATAAAATTGGTAGAAGTCAACAGCTATCTCGACTTGTTCAAGGATATGCACAACCATATCTTACACGACCCACATTGGCTAAAGTAAATCATTACCACTTAAGCATATATTCAAAAATGCTCATTAATCTGCTGCTAATTTGGAGAATAATAAACTTTAGATCGAGAGCAAAAAAGTGCACAACACTTATCCAACGACCCACCTTCAACACTTTCTACAAGCTCTGCTACTTTTCGACAAGCAATTTTTTTGTTTTCTATTAGTCTCTTTTCGGCACGTTTTGTTGCAATTCAGTAGTCATTTCCTCTAGCCGGGGATGATGTGAAGGAGACTTTGTGGTCATAAAATGATGGCGTGGATCAACAATTATGACGAGAAAGTCATATAATGATAATGACTGGCACTGAAATTCGAGGTCAGAAAGCGTGGCCGGTTGGTAATGATATTTATCAAGTAGACAAGAAGCAATTCCGGCTGTGATTTTCTGCAAAATTATGCTTGCATGGTCGATTGGTTCAAGCTACTTAAAACCAAATGTAGTTTTCATATAAACCAAAAGGTTATTGGCAAACATGATTGTGTAGTACTTGCCTGATTATTCTTGATCAAAGTAATGTCTACTAGTAGATGAATGAATTCAAGAAGACGTGATGGATTGGTGGTATTGAAAATGATCCCAAAGTCATAATCAAAAGTACTTGTTGGTATGAAATGGTGATTGTTTTATCATCATCTTTTTTTCTCGATCAGGTTTTGCGCATCAAAATTAAGTTCATTTTTTCAATATGCCAACTCTGAAGAATTGGCAGAATTTTTTCCTCTTAATATAAATTATTTTGACTCTGTTCTGTATAATTTAGAAGCAAAGAAATGGACAGATATATTTTAAGTTGACTAAACTGTTTACGTTTATGTTTGCTCAATTCAACTTGGCCGAGGAGAAAATTTAGTAGAACTTTTTACTGACTGAATTATCTAATCTAAGAAAAATAGTCTCTGGTAAGAAAGAATCATCAGCAAAAATGTAAAAGTTAAACCATTTTGAGAATCCTAAGTCCACAGATAACGAATATTTTATCGGATATAGCAATACGATTCTATTATCCACAAAAGCCTTACCTAGATATGAATATAGCAATGTGAAGTCGTAAAGGTTGGCTGGGTGATGACTTGTCTACGGATTCAACTCCCCCATCAATCGGTCGATGACCAAACTTTAGAGATTTTAGTATCGTAACTAATCAGTGCAATATTAGAAAATAGAGGGGTTCGGACTTTATTGAGTAAGATACAGAATTAAAAAGAAGTTAATTAGACCCATTCAAGTGTCTTTTAGCATGGATTTAGGTGATAAATAGGTTTAATCTCATATTAAATTATTATTTTATGTTCGAGTTTAAAAAGAGTCATCGAGAATGAATTTCTTATGAATTCATCCGTTTAAATTAAACGTAAACATCCTATTAAGATTTGATTGGACAGAATAATATCAATATACAAAAATTGGCGAGAACACAGGGGAACTTGAAAAGAAAATAATCATAGCCAAGTTCAATGTAAAAAAAATGGGTGGTATGACTTTGGTTCTATGAAGTGATAAGACTGCTTGAAAAAGATACATCCCTTGCTAAAACCACAAGATTGTTGAACCCGTTGTGAACCAGCATTATTTGTCACCTAATGAGTGATAGGACTGACCAGCTTTCTCTTTTGGACTTTCTAACACCTCAAAATATAAAAGAACATCAAGGCCAAGCAGTCACTCCTAAGAACTTTGAAGTCAAATTCTACATCACATGTGCCTTTTGATGATTTCTGGTCCCCCCAAAGGAGAGTCCAAGTTCATTTTCTAACCATAAGAAAAAAATAAATCGGATAACTGAATAGAAAAGACTCCGGCAACGTCCCTGCTATTTTTGGATTTTAGCAGGGCAGAGATCAGCATCAGATTGTAAAAAGAAAGGAATGATGGAGCCTGTGAGGTTGTAGGATTTTGTATTTCGTTTCTAGGAAAATTCTTGGAGTTCATGGAAAGAAAGACACTGAGGTGGCCTTTCGTTTGTGGTCAGCATGGCCACCCCTTAATAGTGGAAAATAATGGAAAAGGCAATTTTTCTGTTGAGGCATCCCTTTCCAAGTTCTATACCATTGCACATGGACAGAATGCATATTATTGTACCGAACTTGAAATGATAAAGCAAGAGCGCACTTTTGTAAGTTCTAGAGGCAGAGAAATTCCTAGAAATGAAACAATTTTTACCTAAAACTACTACTTATTTTCAATGAAGCATGGATTGATGTTGTGGATGTCGAGGAGGCGTCGTGAAAAAGCAATTCCAATAAGTTCGTTCCTTACCAAATCTTAGATACGCTATTTATATCAAAATTAATATTTTTATTACAAATTTCTTTTTGTCGATTTTTTTTTTTTTAACTTCAAAATGATAATTTATGTGGGCGACAAACACCTCATAAGCAAGCATTGTCATTCTTGTCATAAAATGAAAACCAGAACAGAAATCATTCATGGTTGTCCCAAAGAGGAATCTTGTCAAACAAACTTTGAGCGATGCATGAATCAATCTAATATTAGATATATGTTGTTAGATAAAAAAATAAAGTAAAAAAAATTGATTTAGACTCTCTAGTTGACAGCTGTCACCTTACATCATTTAATATGTGATAATATTCAAACTATTAAAACCTTATTCGAAGCTTATTTTCTTTACTTATTCTTGATCAACTGTCTCTAATATCGATAGCCTGATCATCTTGAACTTTGAAAATTATTTTTGCCTCCTATAATGAAGGACAGATCACTCGATCTCGATTGAGTTGTGGCGTCAAGCTTTACCAAACTTTGGAATCAAGTGTCCTATCATACTAGCAAAATAGTCAATGCAATATCGAATCATAGTAATTAACCAAGGAAAAACAAACACATAATTAATGAGTTTGTTGAATGCTTGAATCCAGTTCCCTCCTTGAGAATCGAGAACTTGTTTGATTGAGTGGATATAGAAAACAGATAATAAAACAGAAAAACGTTTTTAATCATTCACTTCAATTGTTTGATGACTGAGGAGTATATATGAATGCGAAAGGTTCTAAGTAGGACAAGTTGAAAAAAAAAAATCAAACAAGATGAGAGCAAGTCCTTAATTTCTTCCTTCTACTCAAGCAACTGCGCATATCTTTTTCCTTCTTCCGTGATGAGGAACTCCAAACCGAACAATTCAGAAGCAAAAAGTAATTAACTATCATAAATTTATGACTTCATTTAAATTTGATTTATTTTTTAAATTGAATTACGTAAATAGAAACACTTAACTTACTATTCAATAACACCAAGGACTTCAATTCAAGGTGGCAATCACTGAATTTGCTACTCCTTGTTAGATTTTTATTTTTATTGGGCACTTGCTAGTTATTGTCGGATATGGCTGGTGGTTCAAAAGAATTGGCAAAGCTAAGGTACTAGTGTTCTGTCAAAAGGGTAAAGTCCAAGGCACGTGTGCTACACTGAAGGCAGCTACGCTCCCATATTAATTGCAATCTGTTTCCAAAGGCACAAGGGGACCCATTTCCCGAACCAAAGGTCTCTGTTCAATTATTTGTCTAAGTTCCCTTTCAATAAGACAGGGACAACTGCTCTGAGCCAGCTACTTTTATAAAGGCCCATGTTGTTGTGTTTTCTTTTTCTTTCCGTTTTTTAGTTTTGATTTTTTTATTTTTTTTAGTATTGTCAGTTTGCAATTTAACTTTCAGAGAACGATCATATAAGTTTCGCTACTAAACTTTAGAACCTACTAGGACATCATGAACTTAAGGTAAGATACAAATAGTTAAAAGACAGATTAAGAAAAAAGAAAGGTTATTTACACTTTAAAACGCAATAAAATAAGAGCAAGCATCCATTGAATTCGAACATTTAGGAATAGAATGCAGGATTAATATTAATTACCAAATTTGTTATTGCAAAATTTATCAAATGACCCCATATATTGTCTTATCTTTACTCTTCACTTCGTGTGTCAAAAAAAAAAAAAAAAAAGGTAATTATTTTGTAAATTCTGAAAAAAGGATCATTTCAGAAAGCAGATATACGTTTTTTAAACCTCCAACAACGTTATATGAGTACGGATTCAATGAACACTCTATAGAGGGTCTGGATGCCGTCTCTTCTCTTAGTAACATTAAAAATAAATAAATAAAGTAAGGAAATATCACATTTCAAATCCGTTCATGGTTTCTTTTTGTAGTAGCAACTATTTTTATTTTTTAAATTACATGCATTAGATGGAGGATCTCTTCGAATTTCTTTAAAAAGGTTAATGTTCTGCTGTCTTTAAAAAAGAAAAAAGCATAATTCTTTCATGAGTATTGAGATCATGACATAAATGTTGCTTTTTCCAAAATACCTTATAATTGTGCGGTCGCTAAGTAACACACGGTACTGATTTGGAGAGAGAGGTGGACAGAAAACCAATTTTGCGACCACCTTCATGGTTCGATCCAAAATATTTTGGTTCAAAAGTTTTTTTTTCTTTCCTAGTTAAATGATTAAGACATTTTTAAATTGAGATCATATTTGAGAAATTAGAAATGATAGAACTTGAATTCAATGCCATTTGATCAATCAAATTTTGATATTATATTAAAAAATCATTTCACGTAAAAAATTAAATTAATATATAAGATCTTAAAATATAATTTATATTAATCTTTGAAGGATGCAGTGAAAATACTCAACTTCTTAATTTATATTAATCTTTGAAGGATGCGGTGAAAATACTCAACTTCTTTGATATAGCCTCCATCAAAATATTTTTTAACTATTAAAATTCCATCTTATCTCTTCTTTGCCGTACTTAGTAAGACAATTGGACACAAATGTCTGCCATGGAACGGGAAAAAATAAGAAGAAGATGAAAGAACCAGATTTACTCTAGAGTATTGGTAGTGACCCTCTGCTTCAAACAAAATATCAGTATTAAACGTTGCTCCCTTGTACGACAAAAAAAAAAAGAAAAAAAAGTGTGTATCTCATTGGAAAATAATGGGAAAATGGAAAATTTAGGCACAAATTCAACTGCAAACACCTGTCTATAGTAGGCATTAATGCAAGATCTTGTTGATAATCTTTTCTGCCGCATTGGACCTAAAGGTTTTTTTAGACGAAGTCGGTATATTAATATACAAAATCGAAATCGATGATGTGAAGACAACAGAGACTGATGCATCCACTTTTCCCTTTTAATGGTTACTATTATGAAAGAAAAATCGATTTATAAACTATAATCCAGTTGAACCAAGATGTTGACATGCATCTGTATCGTGCATGTTCCATTCAATGATTTCATTTTTTTATTAAGCTGTTCGTAATCAAAATGTTGTATTTTATGTGCTTAATTACGAAAAGCAAAATAAGAATGAGTCACTAAATTGGATAGTTGTCGTGGTATGTCCAACTTTTGTGAATCTTGGATTTAACTTATAACAACCTTTGATGTAACGTATATTATGGTATGCCAGTTTATGTTTTTCCCACAAAAAAAGAAAAAAAAGAAAAAAAAAGAACATATATAATAAGCTAGTCCAGAACCAATAGATCGACCCACTTGCCCACTTGTAGGTAGCAATTAGCATGGATGTAAGTTGTGACAGAAGAAGCATCGATCGAGTTACGTACAGCTAAAACCCAAAACAATTGTTTTTTTTTTTTTAAATTATCCCATTGGCAGAAAGAGATTTACAATCTCAACCGAACGTATTGTACTAAGAAAGAATTAAAAAAAAAAAAAACATACATAATAAGCTAGTCCAGAACAAATAGATCGACCCACTTGCCCACTTGTGTAGGTAGCAATTAGCATGGATTTAAGTTGCGACAGAAGCAGCATGGATCGAGTTACAGCTAAAACCCAAAACAGTTGTTTTTGTTTAATTATCCTATTGGCTCAAAGAGATTTACAATCTCCACGGAAAGTATTATACTAAGAAAGAATTAAAAAAAAAAAAACATAAATAATAAGCTAGTCCAGAACCAATTGATTGACCCACTTGCCCACTTGTAGGTAGGAATTAGCATGGATGTAAGCTGTGACAGAAGAAGCACCGAATTACAGCTTAAACCCAAAACACTTTTTCTTTAATTATCCCACTGGCAGAAAGAGATTTACAATCTCCACAGAATGTACTATACTAAAAAAAAAAAAAACCGAGAATATGATATTACCGTTTGATTATGTGTGCCAGGGTGTGTGTCAGTATTTTTTTTCTTTCTTTTACTATATCTTAAGAACCTTTAATCAATTACCATCACATACTACAGGTTCTACCGTAGAAAGGAGAAAATGATGTCGTTGTAGTCAGAAGAGATATTGTACGATTAATTTCAGCTTGTGTGTGTGTATATATATATATATACATGCAAGTTTCTGAAGGGGATTGTAACTCAATATTTCTTAAAGAAGTATATAATCCATTTCATTCTTTTTTTTTAGCTTATTATATGTTAGCTCCGTTGTCCTTTTTTTGTTTTTTTTTTGTGGCCTACGAGGGTTTTTTTTAACCTTTCTTTTACTGTGAGGGGGAGATTGAACCTTGAACTCTGTTGAAAGAGAGGTGGACGTGAGGGGACTAAGCGACAAATTAACCCTTTTTATTGAAATAGTTTTTTTTAACAAATATCACATAGTCTTGGATGAATATCACACCTCTTAACGCTTTTAATAATTTAAACTTTTAAATTAAGATAATTCTTTTATAAATATCACACCTTCCAGCAACCTAATACAAGTAAAGTGGTTAGTGAAATTTGTGACTCTTTGGATTATTATGTATGGGTTCAGCTCCAATTTAGGAGAACATTCCTTTGTTTACGTGGTACTAATCAGTTGAAGAACTCCGACATGTATATACATTAAGAGTTAGACCAACTTTATGTAGACTGAGTTGTAATATGAGTCTCCTTGCGAAACTTTTTTTATTGGGTTAGCCATATAATTTATATGTTTTTAATGATTCACATGACATCATTAGATAATATAAGTCTTGAATAAGAATCTACAATGCATTAAAATGTTCTTGTTGACGATCTTTTATTCTGATAGAATCTAGAGTTCCTCAAACAATATGATATCTCACATCGGGTAAATCCTTAACCCTTTCCTCTTTTACTAAGAATACATGATGTTTTTGTGAATTATGATCAATATAAGCACTGATTTCAAATTCAGAGATTAATCGTACTCTACCAACTTTAGGTAAGACAGGGTTTGGTTTTTTGAGAGTGATAGTGTAAAAGTCGACAGATAAGTCACCTTTACTGCCACTCTACAGAACCGTGTTGTCCTAAGACCACACATATGTACCATTCTTACAGATCACAAAAAATAAAGTATCACGCATTTTCTTGAAAAGAAAGCACCCCATCAGCACCTACCACGAGTTTAAAAATTCAATTAAAAAAAAAAAAAGTAGACGCGGAGGAAAAAAAGAAAAGAAGAAGTTTACTGTCTTGAGAGATAAGATAATTGTACTAGAGGTACACTGACTTTTAATTTTTTTAATGGACTACATAGATTTTAATTGTTTTCATTTGAATAATATTTTTTAAAAAAATTATCAATCAATTACTTTTATCAATTACTCTATTAACTGACAACGTATCCTTTATCCTTAAAATATAAAATTATAATTTTTTTTTCAATCGAGTACATAGATTATAATTTTTTTCGTTTAAGTTTATAAATTTCTTTCACAACTCGTCAATCAAGTATTTTCATTAATTTTTTTGTTAACCGATGACGTTTCATTACCTCTAGAATACTAAATTATAACTTTATTCTCTTTTTATTAGAGGGAACTTTTCTCTCAAATTTTCACAATCAATGAATCTTTTTAATGAAAAATCCCATGTTTGTGTTTGTATTCAATTTTTACATCTAGATCTAAGCGAGTTTAGTTCGAGGTCTTATGGTTAAAATTAATATTTTTTAAATTTTTTTGTCAAATTTTGAAATGATAGAATAATTTCAGAAAAAAGTTTCCTCCGATAAAAAGAAGACAAATTTGTAATTTGATATTTTAAGAATAACTAATACGTTATCACTTAACAGAGAAATAGACAAAAGTATTTGATTGATAATTTTAAAAAAATCAATGTACTTAAATAAATAAAAAAATTCATCTCGCTCAATTAAGAAAAAAATAAATTTGGTATTTGGTATTTGATATTCTGAAAATAATGGACACATAGTCCATTAACATAAAAGAAAAAAATAACAAAAATATAAAAATATTGATAAAAATATTTGATTAATAATTTTTTTAAACATTAATATAATTAAATAAAAAATAAAATTTATATATTCGATTGAAAAAAATATATGTGTTTATAATACATTATCCCGGGCAGGTGATCAAAATCCAACTAATCCAAGACGTGAAGGCAATGCATGCGGAACATGTATGCAAGAATTCTGCCAAAGATCTTCATCGAACAAAATATTTAAAAATAAATTAAAAAAGCAACAGAATTTGTCTGAAGATAATTATAAAATGGAACGCATAAATTATAAGATTCTTTCTTTAATTGGATCGCCCTTATCGCTAAGCCTTTTCTAATAATAATACATCACTATTGAGTATGATTAACAAATCTATACCATGGTCAGTGGTGTCCAGAGCCAGCTTGTCAAATGGTGACAACATATCCTCTCTATATCAAATATTTAATTGATAGTTTAAGAAAAAACAACGTATTTAAATAAATAAAATAAAATCAATATATTCAATTGAAAAAAAAAATTAGTATATTGATAGTGTATCTATCCCCACAAGTAATCCAATACGTGAACGAAATGTTTGCGGAACATGCATCCAACGATTCTGCCAAAGATCTTCACCCAACAAAACATTAAAAAACGAATTAAAAAATAACAGGATCTGTCTGAGGATAATTATAAAATAAAACACACAGATTATACAGATTCATATTTAATTGGATTCTCATTATTGCTAAGCGTTTTCTAATAATAAAACATCACTACAGAGTAAAACATGATTAATAAAAAATATATTATGGTCAGTAGCGTCCAGCGCCAGCTGGTCAAATGGTGACAACATACCCTCTCTCTAGTCAAAATTACTGACACAACAAGTCAAAGAAAACTATTTTATAACCTAAAAGGCAAAAAATCAGTTCAGACTCCAAAGAGCATTCTGATGATATCTTTTGAACGTTATACAGTCCTAGTCAAACTTTACACTCAATCCAGTCCAAAACAAATTGCATTCATTCCGTGGAAAAAGGGGAAGAGAGATTCTAATTCAACAGGTAAAGATAGGATTCAAGAATTTTAAAGGCCGTCTCCGATTCGCAAACTCCAAGTATGTCAAACAGATGAAAAATCTGAATGCACGACGATTAAAGTAATGGGTCCGGTAGTCACCCGGCGTACACCTTTCTTTTGTCTTGAGAGTTTCGATTTTGGGTATTCGAGTCCTTATACAAAAAATTTGTCTTTAAAGAAAAAAGAAAAAATGGCATATGCCAATAATGCAACTAAGGAAACAAGTCAATAAAGTAAGGTTGGATTAGTCTATAATTCTTGTTTTTTTTCAGTCACTTAGAGATTCTACAATCTTGTATTACATGATCTACTAGTGATATGTAGAGAAATTTTATCTGATTCTAAAACTAACTAATGATACTTATTTTATAAAAAATAAAATAAAATAAAATAAGAGATAAATATAAAAAAGGTTTAAATAGAAATATTTTATTATTTCTTTTGTGAGTTGGAATGTGATTTTCTTGTTTTTTTTTTTTTTTGTGCTTGTATTCCTCGTCAAAATAATTCATAAAGTAATTATTATTAATTTATATTTTAAAATTTCTCCTACATGTGGTATTATCACAGTCTAAAAAATTATAGCCATCAAAAACTCAAGTTTTTTTACTTCATCTGAGAAACTAATTTTTGTATTAATTTCTATCCAATAAAAATATGAGAGAAAAAATATCATTGCTATCAAACGGCAAGGTTAATGCAAGTTTATATATAGGTTATTTTTTGTTTTAACTTTATGGCGTTTCTCTACTCCTTTTTTTTTTAATTTATCTTTTTAGATTCGGTTTGTTTTAAGCTCGTTTTTCTATTAAATTTTAAACAAACGGTATTAATTTTTTTTCCTATTTTAACCTCATCTATCTGCTCTATTTTTCCTTGTCAATCTTTTTTTTAATCAAAATTAAATAAATAAAAATTTTAAAAAATAAAAAATAGAAAAAAATATATAGATACATCTAGTCATTCTTTCTAAAAGATAAGACAAAAACCAAGTTAAAAATATTTTTGCTATCCAAAATATACTTTATGGAAATCTACCTTTGTGATAGCAAGTAAATTTTAAGTATAAAATAAAATATTTATAGTATTTTTTTTTAATGTGAAGAGAGTTTTAGTTAAAATTTTAAACTTTTGAATTTTATTTATAATTTTATAATATCTTAAAAAGAATCTATTATAATTTACTTATTTTAATTTTATAAATTTATTAATTTGACTCAAAAGTGAAAACATAAGTTTTATTACAAATTTTATTCAAATTGAGAAATTTGTTAGTATTGGTTCCAACACTAACACAAATTTATAACTCATTTTTTAATGAAATTAAGAAATTTGTAAATTAAAATAAATAAATCATAATAGATTCGTATGAGATATTTCAAATTTATTGATACCATTTAAAAGTTCAAAATTTTGGCTAAAAATCTCTTTCTATTTAAAAAAGAATAATATAAATACTTCATTTCATATTCAAATTTTACTTATTATTATAGAGACACGTTTAAAAATTTTTATAAATATTTTATTTTATACTTAAAATTCGTCTATTATCATAAAGATAAATTTAAGCCCACAAAAGCTATTTAGGATTAAAAAAAAATTATCTTAACCTTTTTATTTTTCCTATTTTTAACTTTTAGAGACGATGATGGATATATCTTCTCCTTTTTCTATATGTTTTTAAAATTTATTTATTTAAATTTGGTATAAAAATAAAATTAAGATGAAAAAAAATAGAATAGGGGTTTGAGATTAAGATGAAAAAATAATAATATTAGTTTAAAAAATTAACAAATATACGAGTTTAAGACAAAAACCAACGATTTTTTTAAAAAAAATAAAAAATAAAAAGACACAATAGAAAAAAAGTATAGAGACCACCATTAACCCATATATATATATATATTCCAAAATTTACAGTAAGTTCTCTTTCCTTTCTAGCTTGCCAAATGAGGAAGAGATATTTATATATTCCGAAATTTGAAGTAAGTTCTCTTTCTTTTCCAGTTTGCCAAATGATGAAGAGATAAAATATTGGATTATCGGTGCCACTCGTGGACAAATTATCAAGGACAGATGAATGGTATTTGATGACGCCATTTGTTTTAAGAAGAAATGATGTTGAAAATTCTTATTCTTATTCATTTCCACGTATAGTAAATTTGAGATCGAATTTGTGTTCTCTAAAATGAATCATATACGTAAAATAGGATGAAAAGCAATCCCACAATAAGCATTGCAACTTATATTTCTGTAGGAAAATTTAGTTAATAGAGTATTATGAACAGGAAAAACAAATAATTCATTGTTTTATTTGACGAATTGCAAACAATTATTGATGGGAAGAGTTGCAAATTGCAGGCAAGGGGTCATTGTACATTGTACTATAAAAAGAGATATGGGCCAATATTATATCTTGATGGATCAGCACGCCTTTGTTGACCCCAGGAAAATTGAAGAAATTTTGAGAGCTACTACAAGACAATTTGAGCAAAGATGATTTGTATTTTTATGTGCCCAGCCAGCCAGCCTTCATTTTATCGTTTCCTCTCATTGACTTGCTTGACTTAAAAATTTATAAATATACACGGCTTTGCTTACAATTTGTGTGTACTTTTTTATTTTTTATTTATAAAAATTAATATATACAATAAATATAATACCATATTATTCAAAATTGCTTTAACTTTCTAATATTGTCTATTTATTTGTTTCTTTTGATTTTTTCATAAATATTAAAAAAAAATTATAAATATAGTCTTAATAAGAATCATAATAAAAAACTAAACATTTCATAATATATATAAACAAATATTTTAAAACGTTTAAAAATAAAACAAAGACCAACAAATTGAGACGGAAGGAGCAGTATTCATTTATTTGTCAATGCTTCTATAATCGACGGGAAAATTATTATTATAAAAAAGCCAGTTCACATGTTTCTTTCCAGTCTAATTTATTTTTTTTGGCTGTCAATTAACAATCAAAACTTTTGTTTTTTATTTTGAAGGATTGGTCTTATGATTAATAAGATTTGCATTCACAAAAATTTATTAAATTTTTGTGAATATATCAAACTAATATAAAAAATGCGTCTTTTAAATCATCCTAAATGAGGATTTTTTTTTCGACTATAAATATATGATAGGATCAATCTGCACATTTAATGTCGACTTAATATATTCAAAAAAATTTAATAAAATTTTCTAACTATTGGTTTTAAAATTTGAATCTAAAAAATCAAGAATGGAAGCAAATCTCCATAAGCCTCAAACCAACTCCGAATTGTTTGTGAATCCTGTGATACTAGAGACTCTTGAGAGTTTTGTTGCTTTAACTTTTTTTATAATCCAATTTTTATCCATCCGGTTAATATTTTCATTTTTCACAACTCCAAATTTTTAACTTCTGATTTCCAGAGAAAGAGAGAGGTATCATTAATGCACAAAGTTTGATTATAAATATCCAAAAGTTACATGATAGATATGTACGCATATAATAACTACAAAAAGTCACATATTTTTTATAATTACAATTTTTTTTTCGTTATTAATATTCTTTCCTTGAATATCTCGTCAAATATTAACTTTTGGGTGTAACTCCATTAAGACAAATATTGGTGGCATGAATTTATGAGGTAAAATGAAAGTTTTTGGAACCAAAGTCGTTAAAAAAAGAAAGAAAATTTCCCGCATAATTTATTGGAGCAAACTCTTCCTATGTTGTGTGCTTCGAATTTCATTTACTTACATTGACAAAATAATTGATGAAATTTGATTACCATCAATTATGTCATTTATTTTTAATAAAGAAATTTTAGAGCCAAAATGTCTCACTAAGAAATATGATTTCTTATGTAAGGTTACTTTTTATAATTCGTATTAGAGAGATTGTTTTTATTATGAATTTGAACTTAATCTCAACCAAAAAAATGATTTGCTAAAAGCAATTAAGGAAAGATGTCTAAGGTTTATTTTTCTCTTCATATTCTGGTTACTGTTTCCTTTAGTAGAATGATTGGTTTCATTTGTGAATTTCAAATCATTCTCTCCTAAAAGAATTGATTTGCTAAAAGTAATTAAAGAACGTTTTCTAAAATTTATCTTTCTTTTTACAGTCCAGATATTATTTCCTTATTTTGATAGAGTGATTGTTTAATTTTATCCATCATGGATAAAGAATTATTGTTTAAGTTTATCCACAATGAAGGTTCTGTTTTTTTAAAGTATCTTGTAAGTGATTGCTAATTTTATTCATTATAGATGAAGAATTGTTGTATAATTTTATCTATATTGAAGTTTTTTTTTTTGAAAAAAAAAATTATTCGTTTTCACACATCAAAACTAAAATAATTTATTCTATATTATTAGAGAATAATATAAACCATATTTTAAAATTTTAATTGAAAGTTTAAACTTTCATGTTGAAATTATTTTTGGACATAATATCAAATTCTTAATAAGCAAACAATCACAAATTTAAATTTTATCATCTCTATTTTTTATTTCACTTTTTTCTTGTAATTAAGCACAAGATAATAATAAGCCTCTCTGTGAGTTTTAAATTCAATTTTCAAGCTTAAAAAGTTTTTTTTAAGGGCCAAAAGGATATCTTACTTAATAATTTAAATTTTTAAATTAAAATATTATATAGCACATGTATTCATAGTCGACTATACAATTCATAATAATTTTAACTTTTATTGCCACTGAAACATTTGAATTTTGAAAAAAAGGATATAATTAATCATCAGGCCAAAAGATTAATGTTGTTTGCTTTGAAACCAGGTAGACCGGTCACCAAGTTGCCAAAATGACGTCAACCTCCTGTTCTCTATTTAAGCAACTCCAGCTTCCCACATACATCCCCATCCCCAACTTCAAGTTCTCATGGCTGCATGAGTTTCTAAAAAATAAGGCTACACCACTAGCACTACTTAGCTTAAAGTAACTGTGTCTCTCCCTACCTTCGTTCGGCATAGAGATCATGGCTGCAGGTCTAAACACTGAAAGGGATGCCAATCTCAGCCAATCTGAAGTAGAGAAAACACTTGCTGATTTTGATCCTGTAAAGAAACCAAAAAGAAACAAATTTGCTTTTGCTTGTGCAATCTTAGCTTCTATGACTTCCATCTTGCTCGGTTATGGTGAGTTTCTCTTAAGCCATTCATTTTTCAAATGATTTTATTGTTTTCTTCCACTTTTTCTTTTCATCACTTAGATATATACTGCAAGAAAAGATTCCAAGAAATTAAACTAGCTGTGTTAAGCTCCCGTGGAGAATGAAACTTTTTCTAAAAAATGTTGTTAATTTTTTTTCCATAAAGTTTTTCCTCATTAGAACCTTGATCATGTCTTAATTTTTGTGTCATTATCCTAACAGCTTGTCTCTCATCTTATTTTGTGATAGATATCGGGGTAATGAGTGGAGCTAACATCTACATCCAAGATGACCTTAAAATCACTGACTTGCAAGTAGCTTTCCTTGTTGGAACTCTTAACTTGTACTCTCTTGTTGGCTCAGCCGCTGCTGGCCGGACCTCCGACTGGATTGGTCGTCGATACACTATTGTGGTGGCCGGAGCCGTTTTCTTTCTTGGAGCTCTACTCATGGGATTTGCCACAAATTATGCCTTCCTTATGGTTGGTCGCTTTGTCGCTGGTATTGGTGTTGGTTATGCACTCATGATTGCCCCTGTTTATACTGCTGAAGTATCTCCGGCATCTTCACGTGGATTTCTCACCTCATTCCCAGAAGTAAGTATACATATATTTAATTTTCTTTAGTTTTCCAACAAATTCTTTTGTTGCTTTAAGACTTATGTTTTACAAATTTTCTTTATAGACAGAGAGGGATTTTAAAAAAGTACAGATAAAATGATATTTTTACAAATTTAACTCCAAGTTTTTTTTTTTTTAAATATTTGATATGTAGTTATTCGCTAAAAAAAGCTTCAAAAGATAAATAATAATTAATACCCTTGAAAAGTTTAGATTGAAATACTAATAAAATTCTAATAAATACACAAGAATACCACTTTTAGCAATTTTAATGGTAAAAAACAAGAAGAACTAAAATGTGGGGATTTGATGTTATTATATTATCATAACTTTTGTGGTTCTTTTTTGTGTGTAGGTATTCATTAACGCTGGGATCTTACTAGGATATGTGTCCAATTATGCGTTCTCTAAGCTCCCAACTAACTTAGGTTGGCGATTCATGCTTGGAATTGGAGCAGTTCCTTCAGTTTTCTTAGCTTTGGTTGTTTTAGGCATGCCCGAGTCTCCACGTTGGCTAGTCATGCAAGGTCGACTCGGCGATGCAAGGAAAGTTCTTGACAGAACCTCTGATTCTAAAGAAGAATCTCAACAAAGATTATCAGACATAAAAGAAGCTGCCGGAATCCCTGAAGATTGCAACGATGATGTTGTCCGAGTGCAAAAACAGAGTCATGGCGAAGGTGTTTGGAAAGAATTACTCGTTCATCCAACACGTTCTGTTCGTCACATCTTGATTTGTGGGGTCGGTATTCATTTCTTCCAACAAGCTTCAGGAATAGATGCGGTCGTTTTGTACAGTCCGAGGATCTTCGAAAAGGCCGGAATCACATCATCCAATGATATATTACTAGCAACAGTGGCGGTTGGATTCACCAAGACCGTTTTCATCTTAGTGGCCACATTTTTACTAGATAGGATCGGACGACGCCCGTTGCTTTTAAGCAGTGTTGGGGGGATGGTACTATCCCTAACAGCCCTCGGATTCGGGCTAACTATGATTGATCATTCGCATGAGAAACTATCATGGGCTGTTGCATTATCAATTGCTATGGTATTAGCTTATGTTGCATTCTTCTCCATAGGAATGGGACCGATAACTTGGGTTTATAGTTCGGAGATTTTCCCATTAAGATTACGTGCTCAAGGTACTAGTATGGGAGTGGCGATTAATAGAGTGACAAGTGGGGTAATATCTACAACTTTTATTTTGCTATACAAGGCTATATCTATTGGTGGTTCCTTTTTCCTTTTCGCTGGAATTGCAATGGTGGCTTGGGTATTCTTTTTCGCATGTTATCCTGAGACACGAGGTAGAACTTT